ACTATATTAAATTGGTATGTGTACCCCGAAACACACTGTATCCTACTTGAATAACATTATGCGGCCCAAGCCAGTTGCCTGTATATATATATCTTATATATATACATTGTGAGAATACACAGAATGTTACAAGCCGAAGAACTGGAATTAAAGGACAATGTGGAAATTTTAAAAATAAATGTAGAATCTTAAATTAAAATAAAAACCCGCCAAAACCTAGGATAGTATTTAAAGATGAAGAGGAGGAAAGGACAACCTTTTTAAAAAAATCGGGGGGGTTTAATTACCCCCAGGATTCTAGGGGAGGTAAATAACCCCAATAACCCCCCTTATTTACGCCACTGACCAAGGATGAGACTTTAAAGTCGACCTGAAACTTAAAAACTCAAAAAATATGGCACTCACAAGGTTAAATTAAGTCTTCTGCCTTAATTAAAGTAATTAAGGCAGAAGCTAGAAACTAGTTTACAGTGAATCGTGAATATTGTGAATATAAAAGTCACGGAAAGACGTCTCTGTTGACTCATCCTTTGTGTCTCACTAAGTATGATGATATGCCCGTGTTAGGAATTTCCCCAAAGGCATATTCTCAAGGGTGACTTCCCAAGTGACAATTTCCCAAGTGGCAACTTCCCAAATGTGCAATTTTTCCAAGCGGCAACTTCCCAAAGGTAAGGTTAGGCCTTCTGCGGCAACAACGGTTTCAATGAGGGCCGAGCGTTGCGGCTAGGATGGGCTCGGGGGCCAAGCACTGCGACTAGAACATGCGAGGGGGCCGAGCATTGCGGCTAGAACATGCAAAGGGGCCGAGCACTGCGGCTAGAACATGCAAGGGGGCCGAGCACTGCGGCTAGAACATGCAAGGGGGCCGAGCACTGCGGCTAGAACATGCAAGGGGGTCGAGCACTGCGGCTAGAATATTCAAGGGGGCCGAGCACGGAGGCTAGAACACGAAAGGGGGCCGAGCACGGAGGCTAGAACATGCAAGGGGGCCGAGCACTGCGGCTAGGTCAGACTAAGTTGTCGCTGGTGAAATTGAACATTTGAGGAGTTTTCACTTGGGAAACTACCCTTGGGAAGTTGCTGCTTGTTAAAAATCAAAATCCTGTTTTCTCTCAGCTTTCTACAGACTCAGTGACCTCTACGGCGGAATATTAATTAAAATGCACACGCAGCGGTACGATTAGACGCCAAGGGGAGAGGCTTCCAATTAGCCCAGGCAGGAAATGGGAAGAAGGTGGGGGGGGGGTTGATGTAAACTCTATTTATTTCTATTCTTGGTCGTTTTTAAATCATATCATTTTCAGCGGAACACACTGTATTCAAAATACAGGATTATCCTCAAAGAATGATATTTCGTCCATCTTGTCCTTCTGAAAATTGATTATTTTCCCGACAGGGTTCTAATGATACCGTTGTGAATCCTACTTGAAATTGTGTAAACAGTCCCTTTAATAGAATATGACAATATTTATTCCATTCTTGTCAAAATATACAAAATATACAAAATCTACAAAATCTGTAAGACCAAAACTCAATATTGATAAATTTATTGTGAATGGTTCAGAACCTAACTTCATCAGTTAAAACATTTATTCCCCATTTATTTGATCACCCTCCCCCCCTCCCCAACCCCACACAGTAGCCTTTTTTCTACCATTGGTTATATTTTTCTTCTTCAAGGTTAACATAACCCTCCTCCTTCCCTGGGTCAAATCATTATACGTTAAAAAAATAAATTATACTCTATCAATTTACAGGAATAAAATAATATCTCATATATTCTTGACAAGACTAAGGTTAATATAACCCTCCTCCTTCCCTGGGTCAAATCAATATACGTTAAAAAAATAAATAATACTCTATCAATTTACAGGAATAAAATAATATCTCATATATTCTTGACAAGACTAAGGTTAATATAACCCTCCTCCTTCCCTGGGTCAAATCAATATACGTTAAAAAAATAAATAATACTCTATCAATTTACAGGAATAAAATAATATCTCATATATTCTTGACAAGACTAAGGATGAAATCATGAAAGGGTGCCTTTTAAATTTGACCACATAAAGGAATAGAGTCTTTGCCACAAACTCGAATTTTCTAGTCCCTATATCTTAGCAACCTGAGGTGAATGGTGGATATCGAGATTAATGCTTGATCCTCTCTTTTTCATAATATCGAGACTAATCTAAATTGTACTTGTATCCTGAAAAGTGTATAAAATTCAACCAATTAGAGTCGCGTATATGAAGCCGATAAATTTGAAATTTTGCGCGCCATTTAAGATTATATACAGAAACAGGAGGAACTCTCTAATTTAGATAAACCGGTTTTTGATTTTTCTCTACTGAATCCAAGAAAGAACGGTTTAAGTCTTAAGAAGAAAATCAAAAGTGTGTCCATTGGATACTCAAATTAAGTAATCGGGATTAAGGATATCTCATTCTACAGGTTTCAGCTCTGACGATATAAATTTTTGATATTACAAACTTAGATGTTTTGATCTAATAGAATTCATAGTTAGAAATTTATCTAAGGTCTACAGACGTACATAGGGATAGGAAAATCAGAGTTTGTTCCAAATACTCAATTCCTTTCACAAGAAAGAGCCGGTCCATTCATGGCGTACTGTCCCCTTTTGCTTTATATAGTCTAATATTTGTACTATTACAGCTTGGCCAGGTACTTGAAATAAACCGGAGATTACAGTTTTGCATTTCTACAAATTCGGACGGTCGTATGCAATTACTTCTACAGTGCTTTTCAGATGTATCCTCACAGTATTTTTACATAACTAGGCCTTTAGGGCTTTTCGCGCGTATCTTATATTTCAACTCATAATGTTGCTTTAACCGTGGCTTTTTTGCAGATTTCATATATATTTTCGCGCATTTTCTAAATTTTACAAAATAAAAATCTTTTAAACACAAATTTTTTAAATTTTAATCATTTATAAACCTTCCCTGGGGTCCCGCGATGTGCCACAAAAAGTTTGGGCCTGATGTATATATGAAGAAGATGATTTATGTTGGGAAATGCGTAGTTAACTACGCATTACAAGCTGAGGGCGAGGCCTTGTTTTAAAGCTTGAAGTCGAAAATGAAATTGCGGAAGATGCGAAGAAAAATATCAAAGTTTAAAAAAACTAAATTATATAACACAAATCTATGGAACTAATAAATTGGACTGCTTGAGTTTACTATATTTGATTTTATTGAGTTTGAATAGTTTATACAATGCTTTAATGTAATAACTGTTTATCACGTGTAACTAAACTAATTTAACGTTAGATTAAAAACCTATATGTTTTCAATTATAACTCTACATATTGTAGATATCTTTACCCAAATCTGTTAATAAACATCTTCTCTTTGATTCCAATTTTATGAGTACCCAAGCTGTTTGAAGGCTAGGTAGAAATCAAAATTGTAAAAGAAAGTAGTCCTCATTGTATTGATATATATGAATACGACTGTATGTAAATTGTACCATGCACATGTTGCAAAAAGTCTTCTAAACTTCCAAATCACAAATCTCAGCAGGGCGGATACAGGGGGGGCGGGGGGACATTCGCCCCCCCCCTGAATTTGGAATTTCTTGTTCCTATTTTCAGAATAGCTTCTCAATAGCATGCTTAAGGGAAAAAATCTCTAGTGCAAAACAGGAAAAATATCTGTCTTAATAAACTATAATGTGTGAAAAGTTAAAAATCTAGTTTTTTAGTCTTTAGTCATTAATTTTTACTCTTTTTGAGTCTTTTAAGTCAAAAAAATTTCGCCTGCGCCGCGATTTTTTGTTCCTAATTATGAATTTTTTTTTCCTAAAAAATCTTGCCCCCCACCTCACTTAAATCCTGTATCCGCCCCTGAATCTCAGTTAGATAAACCAGCAGTCCCTACCTTCTAAAGTCCATGTTGTAAATGCTGGGTAAGCAACATAAAAGTGAACATTGATCTTCGAACAAGAATCCTAGTTTTTTTTGCGTACTTATATTTTCAATGAAACCGGCTCCGATATTTTTCACAAAATTTTTTTTATTCAAGTTTTTTGGTTGTGAAAAAAATTATTTTCGAATTTTAAGTATATTGAAGAAAAAAAAGATTGAATCTTTATGAAATATTCACAATAAATGTATTATCATATGCACATTAGATGGCTTGGTTTAAAAAGGCAATTCTCAGATTTTTTCCTCAGTTGACTTTTGAAATTGTTTGCAAATACACGTGGTCGGGTCATTAAAATAACTGTAAGGTAAATTGCATTTTTTTAGTTTAAACTTGTGAAATTATTTATTTAAGTGAACAAACTAATATAACTTATAAGGGATTCTCAGCCTAAAGAATCAAAATGAGGGGGGGGAGGAGACCTAATTTTATGTTTTTAATCTCAAAACAAACTGAACAACTCTGTACCTAAACATTTGTAAATAGATTAAAAATTCTGCCAATTAGCCTGTATAGTGTATATTATATAATTTTAAAAACACCAAAACTAAATCTTAATTCTTTATTTTCATGTTTTTTCCCTTCTAGCAATTAAGAATTCCACAAAACATGGCATAAGACATGGATATATAGATATATTCAAGGAGTAATGTAAGGAAAGTTAAATGCGGTCTCGAAAACTCTGCGTACATATTGAAACCAGTTCTCTCTGGGCGGAATTTGTAAACAAGAATAGATGCATCAGTGTTCGTTTAGTATCCGAGTAGGTTGAAAGCATTTAATTTTGATAATTTTGAAAATTCACATAATAGTTTCTATGACCAGAATATTTCATAGATTGTTTTTGTGAAAATGGATTCCATGTCAGGGTGTGACATCCGTCTTGTGTTTACTCTTTCCGCCCAAAGACAGTACACTGCAGTGCAAAAAATGCGTACACCTCTAAAATAACTTTCCTTGCATTAGTACCTTGGATAGATTGATAGATAGATAGATAGATAGATAGATGGATAGATAGATAAATAAATAGAAAGATAGCTAAATGGTTAGAAAGATGGAGGACAAAGAGAACTGTATTTAAAGAAGAACGGAGTAAATATTTCTTTAATCTTGGAAGAAAGAGGAAACAGGGAACCAGTCAATCTTTGCTCCAGCTCTCAGCTTTTCATTTTGCTTTGAACCCTTGCTCAATCCTTACTTCGAGTTTGCTCTCAGCTTTTTCTCTTCTTTGCACTTAACCTTGGCTCTCAATCTTTGCTCTCAACCTTTGCTCTCAACCTTTGCTCTCAACCTTTGCTCTCAACTTTTTCTCTCCACCTTTGCTCTCAACCTTTGCTCTCCACCTTTGCTTTCAACCACTGTTCTAAGTTTGCTCTCAACTTTTTTTATGGGTTTGGTTTCAATCTTGCTGTAAGTTTGTTCTGAAACCTTGCTACAAATTTTGCTCTCAAACCTTGTTCTGAATTTGCTCTCTATTCTTGTTCTGGATTTTCTCTCTATCCTTTTCCTGAGTTTGCTCTCTATCCTTGTTCTGAGTTTGCTCTCTATCCTTTTGCTGGTTTTGCTCTCAACCTTTTATTCACGTCTTGTTTAGTGTCTGCTCTGAGTTTGAGATATCCATTACTTTTTATTTAGAAATTTATTACTTTAAATTATGGTTTCTTTACAAAGATACTGTAGCTTTTCTGCTTTAGAAACAACTGAGGAATTTAAACACTTTTAAAGCTAGAAAAACAACAATATCTCCCACATTATTGATCAGATAAAAGTCATTTGAAATAACAATAAATTAGAAACTTTTCACTTAAATATTTGCATTTTAGATCAAATCTTAATGTTTACGATATTAATAATCTGTATCTATAAACACATACATATAGAATATGGATTATTGAATAAAAGTATGTACACACATTAAAGTATAATCTGCCAATAAATGCTTTCATAAAGCACTTCAGCTTATTGATAAATATGATGATGAATCAATTGTATAAATGTGTTTTATCAAGAGCCTAAAAAAACTAATTTTCTACGTAATTAGTTTTTAATTGAAAATTTCTTAATCTTACAACAGTTGTTATAATTTCAAGTCACCTTAAAGAGAGACATAACGATTCAGAAAGCTTTGAAGGGTACCTTTGTGAATCGGATATTTCACTCTATATTTGAAGGGTACCTTTGTGAATCGAATATTTCACTCTATATTTTAAGGGCACCTTTGTGAATCGGATATTTCACTCTATATTTGAAGGGTACCTTTGTGAATCGGATATTTCACTCTATATTTGAAGGGTACCTGTGTGAATCGGATATTTCACTCTATATTTGAAGGGTACCTGTGTGAATCGGATATTTCACTCTATATTTGAAGGGTACCTGTGTGAATCGGATATTTCACTCTACATTTGAAGGGTACCTGTGTGAATCGAATATTTCACTCTATATTTTAAGGTTACCTGTGTGAATCGAATATTTCACTCTATATTTGAAGGGTACCTGTGTGAATCGGATATTTCACTCTATATTTGAAGGTTACCTGTGTGAATCGGATATTTCACTCTATATTTGAAGGGTACCTGTGTGAATCGGATATTTCACTCTATATTTGAAGGTTGCCTGTGTGAATCGGATATTTCACTCTATATTTGAAGGGTCACTTGAAATTGCGCCTGCACATATCCTGCTAACTAGACAAAAGCTCCTGCTTAACACGCCTTTAGAAATTGAGCTCTATCCGTTTAGCCGTTTTGACGGCCATTATAGACAAACAAACAAACAGACACCCAAGCAAAGTATCAATATATTGATTGATTGATTGAATCAGTTCAATGGGTAAACAGCTGTTTCTCCTGTTTCTTCACATCACCTGCTCACTTTCTATCTTTCATCGATGGTACACTCCATACTCTAAGGTTAGTCAATGTTCTAGCATTTGTCATACTCTATGGGTTGTTAATATTCTATTGTAAATACCATACTCTGAAGGTTTATGTTAATCAAGATAAATTTTCATATTGAAATTTTTCTAAATTTTTTTTAGTGTACACTATGAAAAGAAACATGTCTAATTTCGAAAACACACAATTAATTTTTTTGAATAAGTAAACATCTTAGAAATTCAAAATATTTTTTTAATTCATTTAATGACTACTTATTAATTTTCTTTTTGTTTCTAAATATATCCAGAAATATATCTGTTTCTAGATATATCCAGAAATATATCTGTTTCTAGATATATCAAGATATATATCGGTGTCTAGATATGTCCAGAAATATGTCTGTTTCTAGATATATCCAGAAATATATCTGTTTCTAGATATATCAAGATATATATCTGTGTCTAGATATGTCCAGAAATATATCTGTTTCTATATATATAAAGATATATATCTGTTTCTAGATATATCCAGAAATATGTCTGTTTCTAGATATATCAAGCTATATATCTGTTTCTAGATATATCAAGCTATATATCTGTGTCTAGATATGTCCAGAAATATATCTGTTTCTAGATATATCAAGATATATATATATCTGTGTCTAGATATGTCCAGAAATATATGTGTTTCTAGATATATCCGGAACGAGCTGGTCAACCCCTCCAGGATCGACGCCATGCTGAGCTGAAGTCAAGAAAAGTAGAAAAAAGAAATTTTGTTGAAAAAGAACTTGAGGAAAGGAATCTTGAAGGTAAGGAACTTTTGAACGCACTCATTTAGAAAGTAGGAGCCCTTTATGACGACTAAATTAATTAATTCATGATAATCTAAAGGTGGAGTTTGGCCTTTAGTCATTTATTTGCGAACGTTTTAAGGAAAAAAGTTTCCAGTTGCAAGAAACCCAAAATGTAAGAAAAAAGACTTCAAAAAAAAATAAAGGAAGCAAGTCTTAGCCATAATCTCTGATTTCCTAATCCCTATAATATTTGCAACCCAATATCGTAGTTTCTATAATCTTTCAAACTAAGGATTCAGTTAGCTCAATAGATCAAAGCTTAAACAATCAAAGGCTGCAAAGATATTGGGACTAGAAATTTGAGTTGGTGGCAAATACTCAATTCCTTTTACCTCTATATTACTTCATATATTTCTATACTTGCAGATTGCATGACAGTCTCTCACAGCGAATCTGGTATATTTTCATACTCATCTTCATTCCCTTCGGAGGTATGCGGACTATACTTAGTCGGCAGGTAAATATTAAAGGGACTGGTATCGTAATATTAAAGGTATTACTATCGTAATATTAAAAATAGTAAAAGTATTGTTATTGTAATATTAAAGGTATTATTATCGTAATATTAAAGGTATTGATATTGTAATATTAAAGGTATTACTATCGTAATATTAAAGGTATTGGTATCGTAATATTAAAGGTATTTGTATTGTAATATTAAAGGTATTATTATCGTAATATTAAAGGTATTGGTATCGTAATATTAAAGGTATTAATATCGTAATATTAAAGGTATTGTTATCGTAATATTAAAGGTATTGATATCGTAATATTAAAAAGGGTTGTATTTAAATGTTTTTGTAGTAAAAAATGTAAAAAAATGTCAATTCAAAATAATTGTTGTCAAATTGAAATTTCCATAATCAAGTATGTTTAACTAAGGCCCGGGGTAAATTACAAACAGAATTTTTTAGAAAAAGTTTAAGAATTTTCTTATCAACTTTGCTCATTGTTTTAAAGAGACTATTATAGAATAGTATGGCAATGTCAAGACTTTCCAAAAGATAAAAGAATTTATTTTGCCTGATTTTTAAGATGAATACCGTCCACAGCGCGGTTGTGCGATTTTTTTACGTCATCAAAATAAATTTTTTTTAAAAACGTTATAGATCTTGGCAGCTTTAACAAATTTCAAGACTTGGTCTACTTAAGTCAAAAACGCTTGGTTTTTTAGGAATTTTTTTTTGTTTATTTTATTTTCAATTTCGAAAAAAAAGTTTAATTGTTGTTTTATTTAGACCTAATCAGAAGATAGTTGTAACTCTACAGACTGCAGAACTATCTGGAGAATGTGATCAGGATATTGTTGTGGTAAGCTCAATAATACTTTTTATGAGAAAGTCAATGTTTTAAAAATTTATTCCCTTTAATCTGGCAGATTAGAACCTTCCCTTTAATCTGGCAGATTGGAACCTTCCCTTTAATCTGGCAGATTGGAACCTTCCCTTTAATCTGGCAGATTGGAACCGTCCCTTTAATCTGGCAGATTAGAACCGTGCAAAGTCTATATATTAGATATAAAAAAAATCCAATTGAATTTTTTTTATTGCGTAATGATAAAAAGGTAGTGTTGGCCCGAAGAAAGAGCTATTATTTTACCCTCTAAATTTGAATAGATCAATGTGTGCAGAAAAATTGGAGAAAATTAAAAAATTATTAGTCTATTTTTTAACCACCTTATCTTTACCACTTAATACTTAAGAATTACTTAAGGTCGAAACTTTAGTATGGAGTATCGTTAATCTTTATCTCTATATCTAATGTGGAAACTTTTAAATTTGAGGAGCAATACGCAGATTCGCAAAAGATGAAGATCCTTAGTTTCACAACACAAAAATTCTGTCTTTAGAATAACTCGTGCATTAAACTTGATTAAATCAAAATAAAAGAAAGCATAATGCGTAAAAGTCTAAAACTGACAGTTTTACAATTATATTTGAAGTTCTTAAAAAGATTAACTTTTTGAAGAAAGATTAGTAAATATTTGACATTGGTTGAAAGGGCTGTGTTGCAAGTTTGAAATTAGAGAACAAAAAGAATTAGTTTAAAAAGCCTAAACATGGATTCCTCAACGTTTTAAAAAATTTTTACTAGCTTTTTTTGCAAAACAGAAAGGGTTTATATATCTGAAAGGTACACGGGGCATATGACATGGTATTCCGGCATATGCCATGGTACACCGGGCATATGACATGGTACACGGGGCATATGACATAGTATTCCAGCATATGACATGGTACACGGGGCATATGACATGGTATTCCAGCATATGACATGGTACACCGGGCATATGACATGGTACACAGGGCATATGACATGGTACACGGGGCATATGACATGGTATTCCAGCATATGACATGGTACACCGAGCATAACGACATGGTATTCCAGCATATGACATGGTACACCGGGCATATGACATGGTGCACCGGGCATATGACATGGAACTTCGGCATATGGTATGGTGCACCGGGCATATGGCATGGTGCACCGGGCATATGAAATTGTACACCGGGCATATGACATGGTACACCGGGCATATGACATGGTATTCCTGCATATGACATGGTACACCGGGCATATGACATGGTATTCCTGCATATGACATGGTACACCGGGCATAAGTACATGGTATTCCAGTATATGACATGGCATTCCAGTATATGACATGGTATTCTAGCATATGACATGGTATTCCGGCATATGACATGGTATTCCGGCATATGACATGGTATTCCAGTATATGACATGGTATTCCAGCATATGACATGGTATTCCAGCATTTGACATGGTATTCCGGCATTTGACATGGTATTCCAGCATATGACATGGTATTCCAGCATATGACATGGTATTCCGGCATATGACATGGTATTCCAGTATATGACATGGTATTCCAGCATATGACATGGTATTCCAGCATTTGACATGGTATTCCGGCATTTGACATGGTATTCCAGCATATGACATGGTATTCCAGCATATGACATGGTATTCCGGCATATGACATGGTATTCCGGCATACGACATGGTACACCGGGAATATGACATGGTACATCGGCATATGGCATGGTACACCATTGCATTTGTTGGAACAATATGAGCACTGGGCAGTTAGGCATTTTCTAATTATCAATAACAACTACTAAATAAATATATTTGTTGTATAGTTGGTGGATGGATGGGATATAAACTACTAAATAAATATATTTGTTGTATAGTTGGTGGATGGATGGGAACTAAACTACTAAATAAATATATTTGTTTTTGTATAGTTGGTGGATGGATGGGAACTAAACTACTAAATAAATATATTTGTTATATAGTTGGTGGATGGATGGGAACTAAACTACTAAATAAATATATTTGTTATATAGTTGGTGGATGGATGGGAACTAAATTACTAAATAAATATATTTGTTATATAGTTGGTGGATGGATGGGAACTAAACTATCAAACAAATATATTTGTTGTATAGTTGGTGGATGGATGGGAGCTAAACGGACATGTCGTCCCAAGCGATCAAGATCATAGCCTTCCAATTTCAGAAAGGTATTTATGTACATTTTATAAAAATTGATTATTTATTTCTATATTTGTTTGTTAATAAGTTTTTATTCTCCGTACTCGTTACACATATTTTGTTAAGTATAAGACAAAATTCTATTTTTGCTTTTGTTATATTAATATGATGCTTTACAGCTAAAAATAAATTGAAAAATAAGGCTCATATTTGTTTAAAATGTATCTCCATATTTGGTTAAAAATAACAACTCTTTAAATAAAAATATTAGTTTTTCTACTGAGTTGATATAAATCAAATAATCAAATTGAATACAAGATTTTATAAGTTTTCCGTATTTTATATTTTTCACTCAAAAAACCATATTTTTTTTAGTAAATAGTCTCAACAATCAACACCCCGATTTTAAAAACATTTTTTTAAATTTTAATCTTAACTTTATGAAATAAAATAGATGGTAGCAGAAATAACAGGGTTGTTTTCTCTCTGCTCATATTCTGTGGTGTCATTCTTGTATTACACTCTTTGACTCTGTCTTCCCTTTTTTTTGTTTCTCAGTTCTTGCGAGCGGGGGAAGGCAGGCAGCCGTAAGCCACAGCCTTTACCTCTTCCAAGCCCCATATTAGCTTTATTTTGTCTTCCGGCAGCCACAACCGTACGGTCTTCCATGCCACAGCATTTGAGTCTTCCGGCAGTTATTACGTTTTTAAATAAATTAAATTTAGTGTAACCATCCCCCCCCCCTCCCTGCTGAGGATGGGTATAGAGCATGGAAAATTCTTCAGAACAAACCAACCCAAACCTGGCCCCCTCCCCCTGCTCCAGCCGCCTTATCTAGTGTTGCCACCCTACAGGGATTGACCAGCCAGGATTAAGAATTGGCGGGATCTGGGTTCAGAACACAGAGAGGGAGAGAGAAAGAAGCCAGTTGTGCGCCAAGACTTGAAGACTACTAGAGTATTGTTACCCACCTTTGTGGGTATCCTTTCAAATATAACATGGTGACAGCTGTGGGATGGTGCAATGGTGATTTTCATAAATCCAGCAACGTCTTGAAAAAGATATTTATAAAGAACTTTTTATTTAAGTTTTAAATTTGAATAATGACGATTCCTGTTAATGTAAACTGTTAAACTTATTTCCAACTAATAAATTCACCCTTTCCTCTAAAATGGCTTATTTTTGAAAACATTATGAACAATAAAAATGATGTACCATAGCATACTCTTACGTTCGAAGGGCGCCCATAAACGAAAACTTGCACTATTTAACGAGAAAATTTAAAATATAATTTTTTTTGAAGAAATCTGTAAGGCTCAGGTAACGTTTTTTCTCATCTTTTCTTATTCTTTAGACAACCCCAAACAATTTGTCTCTGTGCCCACAATTCGTAAAATGATGTTAAATTTTCTTTGTACAATGTTAAGCAATTATAAACTGAACACGCAATTTATTGAACTCTAATAAACTTCTAAAATTCATTAAAGATATGATCTTTAGAGCAATGCGGCAGGATTGTTAAAAATTGCAATTCCATGCCCTAGGTTTATCATTTAAAAACGTAATAACTGCCGGAAGACTGAAATACTGTGAAATGGAAGACCGTACGGTTGTGGCTCATGGCTGCCGGAAGACAAAAATGATAATATGTGGCATGGGAGGGGAACATGTTGTGGCTTGTGACCGCCTTGCCTTCCCCCGCTCTTCTTACCAGTTGGAATAAAAAAAAATGTCCTTTGTAGGTTTGTAGAGGTCTGTCAGAACAGTAATCAACCTGTTCAGATAGTTTCAAGCCAGAACGCTGCAATGGTTCAATTTAAGGTAAAATTGCATCAACTATAAATAATAGACTTTTAACATTTTTGAAATTTTATTAAAAAAAGAAATTCAAACGATTCTGACATTTTTATGATGTTTCCAAAAAATAAAAGGGGTGGTTGTATTGTTTAAACTTTTGAAAAATACCGTTTTTGACTTTGTTTACTTCAAACACTTTTTAGAATTTTACATCTGTAACATGCAGAAAGAATATGGTACCGAACCTACTTAAAATACAACGAGACCTATAAAACTGGTGAAATAACATGAGGAAAAAAAACAATTGTGCAGTGCAATCAGGCCTATTTCACTCAATAAATTGTATGGGTCTGCTGTACTGTATATGATTATGTCTCAGCCTAATCCCCATTCATTTTTTTGTGAATATTCTCTTTAATCAGTGTTTTTACTATTCAGATTTCTAGCCCTGAAAGTAAATTCACCGTATCAGTGGAGTATATAGATAACCCTGACCGTAAGTGTTTCTCTTTATCATTTATAAATATTATTTATAAGCTACTTAGTTTAACAGTATTAGTATCATATAACAACCTTTTTCTATAAATCGCTTTATTGAATCAGTAATGAATTTTCATTATTAAGTAGCTGAAGTGCCCGGCGTTGCCCGTGGAATTAAAAAAAATCTATGATGATAAATATTGTTATGTTTAGCGTGCAATGTTCTCATGTCGGAAATGATAAATATTGTTATGTTTAGCGTGCAATGTTCTCATGTCGGAGATGACCGGAGTATTCAAGATTTCCAACCAAGGAGAGGAACGGTAAGTCTCATTTTCAAATATAATCAACTGAACCACATGGCAAAGCTGTAGTTAAAGTACAACAATTGAAAACAAAATAAGAAAGTTAAGAAATTTTGAATGTTTAAAATAACATCTTATATGCTTGGCTTACTACAATTTTGTTAGGGGGACTTGGGTATATTAAAACTCTTTTAACTACTTTAAATAAGCCAAAAATTTAACTAGAAAGAAGTTTTTCTTAGACAGTTGAAAAAAAGTTGCAAAAGAAAGATGTGGGGTGGACTAGATATATCAATTTCTAGCAAATTATAACATATAATAATATAATATTAGAGGCATTTTGTTTCAGTAACTGCTCTGTAACCACTCTTCTGTTCCCGGCAAAAGTGAAACTTCTTGAGGTAAAGAAATATAAGGAAGATATATATTTCTTCAAACTAGCTCAATTTGATATTTATTTTGATAATTAATACAAGTATTAAAACAAATAGAATTAAATTAAATTTTCTTGTAAAGTACTTTACAAATATAGTTTATTCAAACAAAAATATTTTAAATCGGAATTTTTTTTAAATCAGGAAAGTTGAAACTTGTACAGTCTTAACCAGGATTAATTTGAAAAAGGGTTATGGTTTTGATGTTTTAATTCTCGTAAAACATGTTCTCTAGTCAGAAGTTTTGTAATGTAAAATACGATGGGAATAACGTAAAATACGATGGGAATAATGTAAAATACGATGGAAATAAATTAAAATACGATGGGAATAATGTAAAATACGATGGGAATAATGTAAAATACGATGGGAATAATGTAAAATACGATGGGAATAATGTAAAATACGATGGGAATAATATAAAATACGATGGGAATAATGTAAAATACGATGGGAATAATATATAATTCGATGGGAATAAATTAAAATACGATGGGAATAATGTAAAATACGATGGGAATAATATATAATTCGATGGGAATAAATTAAATTACGATGAGAATAATGTAAAATACGATGGGAATAAATTAAAGTACGATGGGAATAAATTAAAATACGATGGGAATAATGTAAAATACGATGGGAATAATGGAAATACGATGGGAATAATGGAAAATACGATGGGAATAATGTAAAATACGATGGGAATAATGTAGAATACAATGGGAATAATGTAAAATATAATTTTAACATTGTTAAACTTCTCCGAAAAACGACAAATAACATTAAACCTAACGCGCAACAGTTTTGTGCTTAGTATCAACGTATTTATACAAAGGTCATATTGACCGAAATGTTTTTGTTTGAGATCAAAACTAAGTGATGTTTCAAGTATTTCTAGCGAAACCATTTACACATTCAATCTGAAAACAATATTTGAAGTGAATATTCACAATTTTCCAAAAACATATATAAAATGACATTTCCCCTGTGCAAATAGAAAAACACCGACAAATGTTGTGTTTGAGATTTTACTCCACTCCTATTTAAAGTTAAAATGATGTAAGAGAAAGTGATCAATGTCTGTTTTTTAGAACTTTAAAATCCAAAATTGCTGTTTTTATTTAGATTTTTATAAATAAAATTGATGTAATGCTAAAGCAAAGCTAATTCTTTTCATGTTCAATTGATAAAAAGCATTAAAATATGTACAAAAATAGCCTTTTTAATGTGCGTGGGATGGGGGGAGGGGGGCACAGGGTTTTATACAAGTAAAACTATTTTTAAGAGTTTTTACGAAAATTGCCGGTTTTCGGTCAGATTTCATAGAACGTCAACAAATCAATAAAATAACTAAGACTCTTATCCTTCAAAAAGCCCTATTTGACACTAATAAGAGCCTTTTGTAATAAACTCAATCCCCCCCCCCCCCCCCACCGGTAAGCCACACTTTTTTTAAAATTCCAATTTGAATAGGAAAAAGGGTAAAAATGCTAATTCTCATATGAATAGCAATTTTTCTTTCTGGAGTAAACATTTTGCAGAATTAATTTAAATATTTCTGCCACGACAAGGGTTAAAGAATTACAATAATGGTCAGTTTCGGACACATACATACATGGTTGAAATGAAAACTTTGCATTACCAGGCTTCCATTGAAGAACAGGCTTTTGCATGTTAATTTACTTATGTAAATTAACAGTTTGTTTGAGATTTCACAGATTTTTACATAATTTTACAGAATTTTACATAAAGTAAAAAAATTTAAAAAATTTATATTTGATGAATTTTTTTATTAAGGTGAACGTAGGATCTAGATTTAAGAAGAGGTCTGTTCGAAGGTCAAGACGAGGTTTCAACGGTATCATCCCAAGGGTAATTAATTTGATAAAAGATTTATTAATGTTTAGAACGTCAGTTCTCTGTAAAGAAATAAATGAAATTTATAAAATTATCAGAATATTTTATATTTTTTATATGAATATGATAAAGCTAAATATAGTTTTTTTTCTTTTCATACTGCAGAGTTAACCACAGTAGTTGAGATTTTAATGACGACCAGCAAGCTTTGAATTATAATCTTTAAACATGTAGTTCTTATTTCCCTTTGTAATTGATGCAAAGATTTCTTATTTCCCTTTGTAATTGATGCAAAGATTTCTTATTTCCCTTTGTAATTGATGCAAAGATTTCTTATTTCTCTTTGTAATTGATGCAAAGATTTCTTATTTCTCTTTGTAATTGATGCAAAGATTTCTTATTTCCCTTTGTAATTGAAGACGCAAGATACAAAGTCAAAGTCAAAGTGATTAAAAAGTATGAAGCGGAAACAATATTACAATCGGGAGTATCTAAAAACTCGCTTTAGATTCAAATTTTCTATTTCTTATAACCTTGAAACCTGATGGTTAAATCTTTGGTATTTATAACATTGAATATCAAAGCAGCCTGATGAAACAGAATTCAAAATTTGAAAATTCAAAGGTTTTCTATATCAGGTTGAACCTAATTAAGGTTTTCATGATATTGTATCCTAAATAAAAATATTTAAACATTTAAAATACAAATATTTTTAAGAAAAAAACATATTTTTAAATCTAGTGTTCTGAGATGGGAGAGAAGGATTTCCTAGAGCTGGGAGGAGCCGAGGATCTCTCCTCTAATCTTGAAACTAAATCAACACTTTGTGGATTTCAACCAAAACCTTCGATCAAAGTAAGACGACTTTTATATTTACCCAACACACCATTGTACGTAAAATAAACTTTGAATGTACATGCGTCACGGAGATAAGAAGGGATCTTTAATTTAATGCATTCTTTGCTCATGACCCTCCATTTGTAGAATCGGATCTTTATTTCTTGTTTTTTTTTCTATTAAATGTGAGTTTTTTCTTTTCTACATTGAATGAAACCCACTTTAACTAAATTTTTGCCAATTTTTTCTTTTAATATTTTGTGATAATCAACCTATTTTTCTTTTACTTCTAACTTCTAACTTCTAAGATCTGAATGTTCTCTATTCTAACTTCTAACTTCTAGGATCTGACTATTCTCTGTGGCTCAAGTACTGTTCGTCTTGTATCCAGTGGCGAATACAGGTATAAAGGAAGGGTCAACTTTTCTCTTTTCCAGAACATGTAGTTTTAAATTTTGGTTAATCTGTTGTGTGTGCATGAAATCTTTGTTTACTATCTTGCTAATCAGATATGTTAAACTTTAAATGGAAGGTCACTTGTAGACTTAAACCAACATGCAGTCCCTTTAAATGGAAGGTCACTTGTAAACTTAAACTGACATGCAGTCCCTTAAAATGGAAGATTACTTGTAGGCTTAAACCGACATGCAGTCACTTTAAATGGACTGTAATTGTAATTTAAAGTGACCCACCATGCAAAGATGCCAATGCTCGATTCACAACAGTAAGCTTTTAAATAAAAATCTTTGATTAAAAAATGACAGTATCTTCCACATTTTTGATCGGATAAAGGGTTCAAGGGTACCGTTGCCATCTTTGCATAGAGGGTCACTTTAAATTACGCTTACAGTCCCTTTAAAAAAGGAATTAATTTTTTTCTGCTCAATTTAAATATTTTGTTTTATCATGAAAATGTTTCAGGAACAGTGTTACTGCTCTTGTCCAAGCTGCTACTGAAGATGATCTTGATATCACCAAGAATATAATCATGACCTGTCCAAAGTTTGAACTGTAAACATGCAATCCAGTTTCGACAGTTAAAACCGGTTTCTCGAAAAAAACAGTTTTGGTTCCTAGGAAAACCGGTTTTTAAAGTTCGGAAAAGAATTTGTACAACGGAAAACCTCTGTTTACCCATGTACATGACAAATAACATTCCTTGTACAGTACTTATATTAAATGTATTAATGTGAAAACCAGTTCTGATAAATTAATTAAGAAAATCCCTGGACCCTGCTGAGCTGATAGTTTTTAATCGTTTTCTTGTTAAATAAAATAATTGAAGAAATGTAAATTTTTTTATTTTAAATATTTTACTGACAGAAGCATGCTACATTGCCTGTGCCCCTCCGACATCAATTGCCTGTTACATCAGCTATCCTTCTGTGTTTAGTGCCCTTCAGCTGAATCTTTTATTTAACATGGTACATAACGACCTTCTGTATCAAAAAAATCAATCTGAGGGATAATATGGACCTTATCGGAAAACTTTAGAATTTTGATATTGAGAGCAATGCTCTTTTTTTAAATCTCAAGATTAATTCAATCGTCGGTAGTCGCCAGAAAAGTGTATACAATTCAATCAATGGAGTGGCATGTGCAGAATCCCGAACAGCAAATCAAAAGTCGGAAAATTCGAAATTTTTCTTGCCATTTATTGAGAGAAGTCAGGAATTCCAAAAACAGAGAAAAAACGCGGATTAAGCAGGAAAAAGGAAAAAGTGTCCACATTGGATATTAAGATTAAGCGATCGGGATATGGTATCCAACTATAAAGTTCCCAGCTCTGGGTAACAATTTCTGTCAACTGTATTTCCAATTCCCAAAATGTAGTTTTACATGTAGCTATTAGTATTGGTAATGGTTTAATGGATCGTTTTTGAAAACTTTCAATAAACCTTCCAAGATTTTAAAACTGTCATATACGTTATAAGGTGTGCTTTTATAAAACTTTTAAATGTTTTTATCCTAAAATTTAAAATTGTGCTTTTATAAAACTTTTCAATATATTTTTATCCTAAAATTTAAAATTGTGCTTTTATAAAACTTTTCAATATTTTTATCCTAAAATTTAAATTTGTGCTTTTATCAAACTTTTCAATATTTTTATCCTAAAATTTAAAATAGAAAACGTTTCCAGGAAACATATAAACTGACTGAATATGCCGATGACGAAGATGCCCGGTAAATAATTCTCGAATTTTGTTGTTTTTTTATCGGTTTTCGGTCGTTTTTTGCCTTTACTTTCTGCCAGGTTAAAAATCAAATAACAATTTTACACTGGACAGTTAAAACGTCGTCTTCAAAAATCCAAATATTTACTTGATGCTATGGAAATTTACCTAAGAGAAACCATTCTAAAGGCAAAGAGAATAGAATATATATTAGAGGGGAATTTAAAGAATCTCTCGGTAAGAATTTTTTCAGTCTCTTTCAGCCTGAAAGGGAGTTCAAAGTGTACAAATCATGTAAATGTTCACAAATTATATGCAGTAGAGTACATTAATACAGTATGTTCCCTAGACTATTCATTTCAATTTCGAATTTTTTAAAGCTTTTAAATAAACTTTATAATGAATTAGGTGAATAAAAAACATCATTTGATTTATAGTTTTAACGGAAAATCATCGGTTGTAAAGTGAAAGGCATAGAGTCTATGTGAAATGATCATTGGTCAATTATGAAACCAGCCTATTTCATAATTTGGTTTTCTTTTAACATTAATTTTAGATTTTCTATAAAATGATATTCCAGGGCCAAAAAGGTTATATAGCATAAATATGTGAAGTACACCTGCAGTATTGAAACAGTACAATAAAATGGCCGTTTTACACTTTTTTCTAGTAATTTCCTCTCTATATATTCTATTCTCTTTGTCTAAAGGTTATCCGAACTAATACCATATTTGTATTTAACTTCTTAAAGCATTAGATATTGGTATTAAAAATATTAAAAATTTACATTGCATTGCGGACCCGCCTAACCAAGAGAGGTTGTTTTGACGAGAAGTTTTAAATCGACTCCCATAAATACGGATACCCCAATTCAACTCAACCTTCTTTGCATGACTCGTGAGATGACATAACCATTAATGATCTTTTACAATTTTAAATCAGAAAAATATTATGTGTGAGGTCAGGTGAGCGGTTATCCATTTACTGAAAGAACTGAGTAATATGAGTATGTAACTATATTGTAATTTCAAACAAAATGTTTGTAATTTAGAAATATTTTAGTTAAGTTCTATATTCCGAACCAGATTATCAGATATAGAATAGCTTCGATCTCTTAAATAAAATTATTAGTACAGTTCTAAAGTATAATACTCTTAATTAAATAACGCAGAAAAAAATAAACTAATTACAGTTGCAGGGAATAAAGAAAGCAATAGGAATAAAGACAGTAAATTCTGTATAGTCCCCCCTTAACTAAGCTTTCGGCGTGTTCTGAGCCCAAAACTTAAGACAAAATATCGGAAAACCGGTTTCATTAATGGGGTCAGACAGTTTTGTAGATAAAAAAATATTATTTCGTGTAGTTTCTCATTTGAACTCTTAAATTAAAATCTACGCAAATGCCTAGAGTCTATAAGACCCCAAAAGAACACTATAGAGTTTCGTTCAACGATACGCTTTTAAATTTTCGGCTCTGCAGTTATTTGCAGTACACTGGTCACTGACCGAAGATATAGAAGCGTTTAGTGGAGAAAAAGTCGTCTCTGAAGTATCATTCTTTGTGGGTAACCATGTAAAACAAAGTTTAAATATAATTTAAAGAAATGCATTTCTTCTTGGAAAGTTGGTTTCTAAATAAAGTTTGGTGGAATCTTATTAAAATATAAAATCTATATGAAAGGGCATGTGTTGCACGTATATAGTTTTAGCCCTTTTTGAACAGGATATTTTAGACTTTTTCAATCACAAAAAAAAGTTTTGAGGAAGAGAGTCTGAATCTAAAATCTGTTAGTTGAAAATTATATTAACAAGTAATTTTGATTTTTTTTGGGTTTCAAATCAAAACTAAAGGTCGAGTGTTGAGATTGCAAAATTAACCTTTTTAAGGGGGGGGGGGGGTTGAAAATTGAGTAAAAAAACTACAAATAGTGTTGTTTTTTAATCCTTGTTACTACACTTTTTACACTCATCCCTGCCATATACATTTCTAAAAAATATTGTGTCCATTAAATCTCGTACACTTCATTCATTCTTTAAAGGGAGTGTTCGCGAACCGAGTCGTATGAATTGCAACTTTCTTCTTATAGACGCAACAGATAGAAGTGAGATTAGTATTGATCACCATCGATCATTTTTCGACCTAAGCCTACCCCCTTTCATTTTTCACGAATAATCTCTTCCAGTTTTTTCATACACAGAGTTACCTACAAAGACAACCTTAAACTGATGATTAAAAGGTTAAATTAAGTCTTCTGCAGCTTGAATATAATGTTTTTATAGCTTATTTGCTGGGAATCATAAATATTAGGGAACAGAAATATATAATTCTGTACTGTTGTCTCCCTTTGTGGGAAACCCTGTAACTTATGTAACTTTCGACGAGGAAATTGTAATTTATCAATTATTGGAACACACTTATAGTAATCTGCATCATAAATTGGAACACACTTTTAGTAAAATGCATCATTTATTGGAACACACTTATAGTAATATGCCTCATTAATTGGAACACACTTATAGTAATATGAATCATTAATTGGAACACACTAATAGAAATAAATGCATCATTAATTGGAACACGCTCATAGTAATACCATTTTCAAAATTTTAAAAAAATAAAAAACTCATAAATTACAGTATTTTATTCTTAAAATTAGTCATATCATTTCATTGTTATATATTCTCCAGACGCTTGTTTGTTTATATTATTGATTATCTGTAGCACTTAATTTCTACATACTGTTATAACTTGTTATGAATTTAAAGTACGGATCCTACAACAATAATTTTAATAATAATTCAACGGAAAGTAACAGGGTGTCCCAATAAACATGGGAATTCAGTGACGACTTTTACATCGTCTTCGTTACATGAGGCATTTTTTCATGAACAAAATTATTGCAGTATTCCAGCTTAAACATCTAATGTCGAAAGCGCCTGGTCTTTAAATTTTCAAAATGTTTTTGTATCTTTAAAATTTATGAAGATATTATGAAATTTTACAAGTTTCAGTTTATTTAATAAATCAAAATTTTCTCAATATCTAATATCTTTGTTAATTTTTAAGTTACAAAAAATTAAGACCACTTTATAAAAAGCTCGTCAGAGCCTCGTTTTTTTACTTACTTTGTCATGCATTAGATATCAGAAATCAAAGACGATTTTCAATTTTTGTCTCTGAATTCTCATGTTTATTGGGACACCCTGTACTTTATATTGAACCTAAAGAGAGAGTAATATTTTCATCTGAAATTAAATATGAACATTAATCAGGAATACTTTTTTAGAATAAGAGTGAACTAGGCTTTTAGGGCGCTCCTTGCAAATTTAACAATGGAATTGAGTCTTTGCCACAAACTCTGATTTTTAAATTTCTATATCTTTGCAATCCAATGTCGTAGACCTTTATTATTTCAAACTCAGATTATTTGATTTAATTAATGAAATTCAAAGTTTAAAATATCAAAGGTCTGCGACAGAAAATCAGATTTTGTGGCAAAGACTCAATTCCTTTAGCGTTTAAATTTTACTCTGTAAGTCCCTTTTATCATTTGTCTCGTTTAATTGGTGCATGTAAGAAGAAATATAAAATATCGACATTTCTCCGGGGAATAATGTTCAATTCAGACCCAACTCTTTAGGGCCCGATCAGTTTCAAACAGGCAGACACCAAGGATAAGCCAAAGAATGAAATGAAACTATTTTTTTCTAAATAATTATAATACGTTTTTACTTTCATATCCTGTTATACAAATTTCTTGTTGTGTACTTTCAATTTCGATACTTTATTTCGGGACCCGGGGGATTCAAACTTTTAAAAAACTTCTTTCATATCTTTCTTAAAAAACTGCTTTTAACTAAAAAAAGATTTCGCTGTTTATAATGCAAATACATCATTATTGATCAGTCTTGATGCCCTTTTTCTCAAATCAGTTTACAATCAATTTATTTATGACGTTTCTTGTTTATGGAAGTAAACTATTCCAATAAACACAATTAAATAATAGTGCTTAAAGAGATTGTAATTTACAAAATGTGTGTGTTTGTCAAATGTGTTCTTAAATTACGCTTACAGTTCCTTTAATTCAATTGAACACCCTGAAATGTAAAAAAGCTAATTTTTTTTTAACAATTTCTATGTATAATTCAATTTTTAAAGTGACAATTCTAAATCAACCAATGATGGTTAATTTCTCCAATTTAGAATTTTAACGAGTTCTACAAAAGTATAATTATTTATAAGGTTCCTAGCAAGAAAAACTTATTTCATATTTAAACGTTAAAGAGGCTTAATTAATAAAATAAAACTATTTTTAGTTTTCTTTAAATCTTAAGATATTTTAAGACGGTCCTAAACTTATAGTGAAATCCTTGCTATTCCATCTAAAACATTTTTTTTAAAGATAGATGTTTGTCTAAACTATTGACTTGTGGATTTATACTGCAGACTGCAGAGACAATGGTGTAAATTGCCAGAAAATAACTAGTATTGTTGACTTTTAAAAGTCATAATATTAAAACAAAGAGATCTAAATGAATATTTCTTAACATTTATTTAAAAAAACGAAAGTGTTTTGAAATATTTGCTCAAGACAGGGTTGGAAATTGGTTGGTTTAGAAATTAACAAAGAAAACTATTGACGAACATCAGTAGTAATATCATGGGAGCTTTATAGAACTTCATGTTGTTGGTGCAGATCAACTGTAGCTGTAACATCAGGTTTCCGCTCTCTCCAGGCTTTTACATTAGGGGGGAGAGTTATCCGTCGTATCATTTTAGGGTTGAGGGATTACTTGTCTCCTTGATTGTTTCCTATGATAATTGTTGGAACTCTTGGAACATTTTTGTGCTGGATGTAGGCATCGTCTGCTGCTGTTTATAGATATCTGTATCATCATCATGAAGGAGCCAGGGTTACTCCCCTAAGACGGGCTGTTAACATCTCAAATGTTTTACTCTGACTGACGCCACTAACTACCCCTCTAAATAGGCGGAGAAGGGGGGGGGTAGTAACGCTAATTCCACATTGTTGAACCGGAAAAGGAACTTTGTATCGGGAGTCTTACGCGGTCAGCTGTAATACACAAGCGCTTCACCAAGAATTGTCTTCCTTATATTTCGAATTTGTGTTAACATGGTATAGTTTTAGCTTACTAATATTCAAAATGATTACATCGGAACATCGGAATAGACATGAGGGCACTTGAAATTACGTCCTTGTAAGGATTGGAATAGCTGAACATTACTGAAAGCTTAAAAATAAAAAATAAAATGAAAATAAGAATATTTGACTTCTTTATGAATTAAGCAAAATATCTATTTTTAACCTTAAATTTATTTGGATTATTTAAAAAACAATTTAAAAAAAAAACTTGATCATGAAGTGTAGAAAAAAAGAGTTCCAAGTTTGATCAAAATTTAACTAGTTCTAGAATCGGTTTTAAAGTAGTTCTAGAACTTGTTTAGACTAGTTCTATTACCGGTTTAAAACTATAGTTCTAGAACTGGTTTTTAACTGGTTCTAGAACCAGGTTTAAACTAGTTCTAGAACTTGCTGATCTAGAGATGATCCCAGCATTAAGTCTCATCAAGTTGGGATCAAAACTTAATTTTCCTTTTAAACTTGCATGACAAAATTTTTCGTATAGCTGAAATAAGGTAGATGATAATATATCTTTATTCTATATATATATACATATATATATATATATATTTTTATATTTATATATATAATATATCTTTATTACCGATATATTGATAAAATAAATATCATTCAAGCTTTTATAAAAAATACTAGTTTGGAAACCCAGCTTTGCCGAGAAGGTAAAGTCAACCCAGGTAAACTTTAACTTAAAACCAAAATAAGAACATTCCTGTTGTTTTACCGAGTTTCACACAACTTTTTACCTTTATAAAAGACGACATTCGATAAAGTTGCATGTAATTTTTTTTTCAAAAACGATCGTTTTTATAAAGTTCGTCTTTCGTTAACGACGACCCTTCGTTAACGATCGAAAACATATTTATCAGTGAAAAAAAAATTCGAAAACGATCGTTTTTTCAAAAACGATATTTTTTTAAACAATCGTATAAAAACGATCGCTAAACGTTTTAATAAAAACAATCGTTTTCAAAAACGATCGGTATCCAATTTCTAAAAGTTCTAAACTAGTGGGTCGTTTTTAAAATCGATCGTTTTTTTCCGAAAACGAAACGATCGTTTTTAAAAACGATTAACAACCCTAGCATGTAAATTTACAATTTCTATAGTTAAATAATATACACAGGTGTCATAGTGTGCCTGGTATTTTCCACAACGACAAACCGGAAATTTCAACCATTCGTAACTTACTTAATTTAGTGCTAGTATTACCAACCTCGAGATACATCGCAAATGTAACATATTTGATGAAACATTTTTGACATTTTGGAATTAAATCATGCTGAGCGGTTTTTTAAAATAACAAATCTGTATACATTCAAATAAAACAATATTTAGAAAATTCAAATTTTTTCATTACATCAAATTTTTTGCTCTCTCATTCCGGAATCTCTAAGGTTTTCTAAACCTCACTATTATAACCCCCCCTTTATTAATCCCCCCTCTGTAATATAAATCACCCCCTACACACAAACACGCTTCAAGCCAAATTTTTGGATCAGTACCATTTTGCCTATATAACAGTTTGCCTAGAAAACATTCAAGAGTATTTTCCGCCTAAACCATGATTTTCTTAAATCACTCACAAACTTTAAAACAGGAAAACCCGCGAAACTGATTTGAAAATTTTGCAAATTCAGTCGTATTTTTTTTCTTAAACATATGGCAGCACTTACCAAAGCTGGAGTATCTAATGAAGGAAAGCCTTCCATTATTGTTAAAAACAACTATTCATATGTTGGAAAAGTAAGGCCAAAGACAAGCATCTATTGGAGATGATCTAAAAGACTTAAAAAAAAACAGAGATCTCTTACAAGCCGTGGAACGGATCAAGGTTTTTGTTAAAGGATTTGAGACTACTCCTAGGCAGGAGTACATACAACAAATTGGAAACGAGTTGAACAGGGCAGCCAAGTAAATTTATGTATTCTATCATTCTATACAGACAAATATGATGTGATATTATGTTTTGAGAATATACTTGAAATACCTGTTTACTTTGATCCAGTCTAAAAGTTAGAAAAAAAATAGTTAAACATTATCAAAATGTTATATAGGCGAAAATACACTTAAATGTTATACTTATAAAGGCAAAATGTTTAAAAACTATTAAACAGGCAAACTAGTATTTAGGCAAAATGTTATGTACAGGCGAACGTGTACTAGGCGAACGTGTACTAGGCGAACGTGTACTAGGCGAATGAGTATTAGGCGAACGTGTACTAGGCGAACGTGTACTAGGCGAATGAGTATTAGGCGAAAGTTTAAATGGTCAAATTATCTAAAGTCTTCATGGATATCCATCAAAATTCACAAAATACGCCCCCCCCCCTCCTTAAAATAGAATGCCGAAAAAAATCGGCCCACCATGTTTTTATTCTTAAAGGGACTGTTCGCGAAAATGAAAGGGGGTCGGCTTACGCCGAAAAATAATCGCTTTTGATTGCTACTAATCTTACTTCTATCTGTTTCGTCTTTAAGGAGAAAATTGTTAAAAACGACTTATACTGAAGAACGTAGCGTTCATCCAAATTCAGAAAGTTGCAATATACAACCCGGATCGTAAAAAAATCAATTTAATTTCAAACAAGTCATTCAGATAATACAACCGATTATCATCAATTATTTTTCGACGCATTCATATATAAAAAACTAGCTGAAGGCCCCGGCGTTGCCTGTGAAAAAAATGAAAATTTTATTTTTAAAAATAAAAAAAAATAAGAAAAAAAACAATTTTCGTATTTTTTTAGCCTATAACACCCCCCGGCCACCCATGAATGTCCACAACAAATTTCAGCTCATTCGGTCCAGCCGTTTGGCCGGCTATAGGCAACATATCTGTATACAAATGTCTTGTTTTATATAGATTATGTTTCAGATCTATGTGATACTTTGAATGATTTTAGTTTACGTCTTCATATTTATTGTGACAATCATAATACTAGGTATATTTTTAAATCTCTCGGATTTATATATTTTATATTTTATATTTTCAAAAATATTATATTTCTCACAGATCCAGAAATTTAAAAGAGTATCGTTTAACGAAACTCCCGAGTCTCCTTTTCGGGGTCTAACATTTGTGAAGATTTTGATTTAATAGATTTTAAAAAATTGTGAAAATGAAGAAACTATATAAAATAATATTTCATAACAAAAATATTGAAATCCACAAAACTGCCCAACCCCATTCGTGAAACTCGGGTTTCGAAACTGGGTTTCGTAACGATACCCTGTCTTAAATTTTGGGCTCTGAGGTCGGCATGATATCAATACAATGAAGACGATATTTTACTAACAAAACTTTAATATAATTCCTACCAAATTGGAAAATATTTTGTATTAGTTATTTATTTTCATCAAATATTAAGACCTTGTATGTAACATTACAATATCATAAATTTTGCTTTATCAAAAATATTTAATATTTGTGAACAAAATGAGCTTAAAGAATATCATGAATATTTTTTTTTTAGTTGGATTGTATTTGAATATCTGCTTATTTGTTGAATATTTCTACCATCCTACACTCTGGAGTACAACAAACGTCTACAATATCATTCTTTTCCCATTCAATGCACTAGGAAATTCATTTTCAGACAAAACAGTAAAATAAAGACCTACTTTGCTTTTCGAAAAAAAATCACGCTTTTTCATGTACAAGACGATAAAGTCATGTTTTTGGGCGTGAAATTTAGAATTAATAAATCCATAACTTATTTTAGGCAATATTTTGTTTCCCAATTAATTTATTTATTTGCCATTAATAACCATTAATAATATTCTGTTTAAAATGAATAAATACAGAATTAGTTTTGTGCTTTTCCTTGATCTCTGCAGCTTTTGTACAGTCTCTAGTTAACAGGTAGTTGAAAGGGACTGTACAGTCTCTAGTTAACAGGTAGATGAAAGGGACTGTACAGTCTCTAGTTAACAGGTAGATGAAAGGGACTGTACAGTCTCTAGTTAACAGGTAGTTGAAAGGGACTGTACAGTCTCTAGTTAACAGGTAGTTGAAAGGGAAAGTAAAGTCTCTAGTTAACAGGTAGATGAAAGGGAATGTACAGTCTCTAGTTAACAGGTAGATGATAGGGACAGTCTCTAGTTAACAGGTAGTTGAAAGGGACTGTACAGTCTCTAGTTAACAGGTAGTTGAAAGGGACTGTACAGTCTCTAGTTAACAGGTAGTTGAAAGGGACTGTACAGTCTCTAGTTAACAGGTAGTTGAAAGGGACTGTACAGTCTCTAGTTAACAGGTAGTTGAAAGGGACTGTACAGTCTCTAGTTAACAGGTAGTTGAAAGGGACTGTACAGTCTCTAGTTAACAGGTAGTTGAAAGGGACTGTACAGTCTCTAGTTAACAGGTAGTTAGACTTTTTCAATTGGCCCTTTCTTTATGGAGGCCGGAGGGGCATGTTCAATTCACAACGATACCCTTAAAAACTATAGATAATAGTTTGAAGGGTACTTTTCTTCAGATAATAGTTTGAAGGGTACTTTTGTGAATAGGTGAATGTGATACCCCCTTTTAAAATGGAAAGTAATTTAAAAATTACAAAAAAAATCTTTTCATCGAAATTTATATTTTTATTTCCCTGGAACAGTGATGTATCCCAATAAATATATTTCCTTGGAACAGTGGTGTATCCCAATAAATATATTTTCCTGGAACAGTGGTGTATCCCAATAAATATATTTTCCTGGAACAGTGGTGTATCCCAATAAATATATTTTCCTGGAACAGTGGTGTATCCCATTAAATATATTTTCCAGGAACAGTGGAAGTCTAATCCCGTTACGTCTTGGGGTATCAAGTAACCACCGTTGAGGACGTTTTCTACAATATCTTTATTTAATGGAAGTCTAATTCCGTTATGTCTCGGGATATCTACCGTAGAGGACGTTCTCTATCATATCTTTATTTTAGTGGAAGTCTAATTCCGTTTTGACCTGGGTATATCTGCTGTAGAGGACGTTTTCTACAATATCTTTATTTTAGGGGAAGTCTATCCCGTTATATCTGGGTATTTCTTCCGTAGAGGACGTTTACTACAATATCTTCATTTTAGTAGAAGTCTAATTCCGTTATGTTTGGGTATTTCTGCCGTAGAGGACGTTTTCTGCAATATCTTTATTTCAGTGGAAGTCTAATTCCGTTATGTCTGGGTATTTTTGCCGTAGAGGACGTTTTCTGCAATATCTTTATTACAGTGGAAGTCTAATCCCATTATGACTTGGGTATGCATGCTGTAGAGGACGTTTTCTACAATATGTTTTTTAGTGGAAGTCTAGTTCCGTATTGTCTAGAGTTATTGGCTGTAAAGGACGTTTTCTACAATATCTTTATTTTAGTGGAGGACTAATCCCGTTATGTCTGGGTATTTCTTCCGTAGAAGACGTTTTCTACAATATCTTTATTTCAGTGGAAATCTAATTCCGATATGTCTGGGTATATCTGCCGTAGAGGACGTTTTCTACAACATATGTACCTGGATTCTCTCTGGTTCTATATTTATCAGGAAATCATATATTACGCACTTTTCGATATTTTTTCTTTGAATTTCAGTTAACTGTTTTATTCTATATTTATCAGGAAATCATATATTACGCACTTTTCGATATTTTTTCTTTGAATTTCAGTTAACTGTTTTATTCTATATTTATCAGGAAATCATATATTACGCACTTTTCGATATTTTTTCTTTGAATTTCAGTTAACTGTTTTATTCTATATTTTGAAGCCCATTTTACTCTTTAAATGGACGGTCACTGGCATGATTATTGAAGTCATGAGTTAATGACGTTTATGTATTGTTACATAGAAGATATAATGACGTTTATGTATTGTTACATAGAAGATATAAGTTCAATTTTGAATGTTTTGAACGCAAGAAGTCTCGAATTGATCAGCCTGCATTGAAGAAAAAAAGCTATAAAATCTGAATAAGTTTAAATTCCAACTTGAAATCAAAGTAATATTGAATGATATGTCTAGACTAATTATCCTATTGGAAGGCAAATATCTGACCGTGGACCCAGTCGAACCCATTCTAACAGCTACAGGGACTCTCAGGTTACACTAAACCAAATATAGAAACAGGGACTCTCAGGTTACACTAAACCAAATATAGAAACAGGGACTCTCAGGTTAAACTAAACCAAATATAGAAACAGGGACTCTCAGGTTACACTAAACCAAATATAGAAACAGGGACTCTCAGGTTACACTAAACCAAATATAGAAACAGGGACTCTCAGGTTACACTAAACCAAATATAGAAACAAGGACTCTCAGGTTACACTAAACCAAATATAGAAACTGGGACTCTCAGGTTACACTAAACCAAATATAGAAACAGGGACTATCAGGTTAAACTAAACCAAATATAGAAACAGGGACTCTCAGGCTAAACTAAACTAAATATAGAAACAGGGACTCTCAGGTTACAATAAACCAAATATAGAAACAGGGACTCTCAGGTTAAACTAAACCAAATATAGAAACGGACTCTCGGGTTAAACTAAACCAATCTCTCAGGTTAAACTAAACCTAACATAGAGACAGGGACCCTAAGGTTAAACTAAACCAAATCTAGCAACAGGGACTCTTCGGTTAAACCAAACCAATCTCTCAGGTTAAACCAAACCAAATGTAGCTACAAGGACTCATTTAACCAAACTAAATATCTCAGGTTAAACCAAACTAAATATCTCAGGTTAAACCAAACTAAATATCTCAGGTTAAACCAAACTAAATATCTCAGGTTAAACCAAACTAAATATCTCAAGTTAAACCAAACTAAATATCTCAAGTTAAACCAAACTAACATATGTCAAGTTAAACCTAACCAAACCTCTCAAACTCCTGAAAGACATATTCCTAAAAGACAAAGTTCAAATGACAAACTCATAAACTACAAACGCTTGAAAAACAAACTCCTGAAAGACAAACGTCTGGCGTTTGGAGGTTTTGAAGATGGGTCTATTCATACGACATAATTTTTCCCCTTGTGTCGGTCTACTGGTTGATTCTACTGAAGAGTTTGAGCGGAATTCCATTCCTGGTGTTTTTATAACCGATGAGGCGTTAAAAAGTGTTCGGGCGTGAAATAATTCCCGGGTAAAGGCGTACTTCTTAATGATTTGGACACTTATCACACAATATCAAATTATGGATGCATTAATAAACATCTGCAAACTTAAACATATAGCTAAATTCGTTTTTAGATGTAGCAATACCAGAGAATATAAAAAAAAAAATTTTGTCTCGAACGTCGTCTTCTTTTCAAGGAATTTAAAAACATGAATAGATTAACTTCTATCCCTTGCACATTCAAACGTTATGTAAAAATTAGACATTACCTCAAGCTGGACACTTTATAACATCACACCGCACTCTGGGCCGTGGTAATTTGAATTCGAACAGGAACTGCGGCTGCCCAGTTTGTACCGGCCTGCCAGATAACAGCGTGTACTGACCCTATCCTTTGGTACAGTCCGTCGCCCCAACCAGACTAAAATACAACAGGGGTCAATTTTCTTGGCATAGTCCCGTCGGAGGGCTAACTAGGACAACTCCCTTGGAGCGTTCAGACTTTTTACAGTACCCGGCCTATTTGACCGACCCCACTGGATTAGTCCACGGTGACCGGGAAAGAAAAAACAAAGGCAACTATTTTTATTTAGACATAATGAAAAATAGAAATCATGACTATGTTCCATCAATTAATTGATTACTAATTAATTATATTATGTAGACTACTGAACGGGGTAAGCATGACAAAGTTCGGCCTGATCACCGGAATGGCCTGTGCTTGCTTCTCAATATCTGAATGCGTAGGTATAATGTTGATGATCATTTTTAATCTTTTTTATTCTTTAATAAAACTTTCAAGATTAAAAACTGTAATCTGTTAAAGTGTGTTTTTATTTAACTTTACAATCAAAAAACGACTCAAAAGCTATCGTTTTGTCCCAATTTAGCATAGTGTAAAAAAGGAAAACTTTAAAAATTAAATAAAAAACATTTGCTTTTTTTCTTACACTAGGTCAAATTTTGACAGTGAAAGAAAGTATAAGCAAAAACGAACAAACTTTAGATATTACTTAAAAAGATAAAGAATATCATCAAATTAAAATAGTAAAGAATACTGAAAATTTGGGGGCTAAAAGAAAACTTTCAACTATTAAAGATTATTAAACATCACAAAGAACCTTTTTATAAAATAAAAAATATAAAAATAGAATTAGAATCTTTTTAACTTCTAAGCTTTAGCATATTTACAGAAGTCTAATAAGTTTAGTTTTTATAAAACACAGATTAGAGAAAATTTACATAGAAATGAAATGCTTCTTTTACAAAAAAATTTAAAATTTCTGATAAATTTTTTTCGTTGATTCTATTAAATTTGGTCTTTTTCATGTTTTTAACCTTTAATATTTCAGGACAGATACTGGAGAATACATACTTTCAAAAGGAAAAGCTGAAATTATATTTTGAAACTTTTTTTCTCATGAATTTTTTTTACCTTTTTTCGGATATGTAATTTCTGCCAGAGTCTAGGAGATTTTTATTTCTTTCAAAAATTTCTCCAAATTTTTGCCATTTTTACTCTCCTGTTTAGAATTCAAGAGACTGATGTCGTCTTTATATTATAAATGACCCTCTTTTCAGAAAGGACCATGTCCGATTCTCAACAGTACCCTTAAAACCTTAATTTCATCAATAACCTGTGATATCGACATGTTCCTATAATTTGAAAAGTGTTTAATTCAGATAATTTTTCTATAGTATCTGAAGTAAAAAATGGGAAGTCACCTTTTTAGAGAAATCACAATTTTTCAACTAAAAAACCATGTTTATCAAGTTGAATTCATAATTGATCATACAAAGCTGGGTACCATCGTTATTTGGACTCTAGCAATCGAGGGTCACTCGAATATTAAAGTTATATCAACAACCTCTGTAAAACTATAATTCTGGTTTCCCCCCCTGTAGTATGGAAAGCCCCTGTATGTTACCCTCTGTTCTGCGGAGGGAGAACCCACCTTTCAGCCAACACTTGTCTATCTATCCGTCATCAGGTAGGAACGCCAAACAAACGCCAAAAAAAACGACAAAAAACGCCAAAAAACGAGAAGAAAAAAAATTCAAAATTTAACGTTGAACGTTTTAACTCGTAATTAGAGATGGGCACGTTCGGCTTTCTTTTCATTTCGTTCGTTCATCGTTCGAGAACGGTCAGTTTCGTTCGTTTTATCCAACGAGGTTATAGTGTGAAGAGTGATGATGTACGCTAGTCCTTTACTAATTGTACAGGCCATGTACTCCACTTCCAAAGGTCAATCTGTAAGTTACAGTACTTGGGGGGGGGGGGGGGGGGGTTTCGGTTCAAATTTTTTTAAAGGTTCAGTCTGACATATTTGCGAGTAATCCTCTACAAATCTATAAGAATGGAATGTCAGAATAAACAGTACCATCATTGTTCATAAACGGTTCTGAGAAAAACAGGGTGCGGAAACGTCATGGGGGTGTGCCTGTACCAAAAGAGTGTGTGTAAGTAATACCGAACCGAAGGTGTGTATTTTAGGTATATACATGTACATAAGAATCTTGGTATTTGTACAGTCTAGGAGATTACATTTGTTTATTGTTAATTGTTAACTTTAAAAAAAGGTAAGGTAGTTCAACTGAGTATGCAGTGTTGTGGACAAAATCTTTAGGATTCCTTAGAGACATATAAAATGTTTCCAAGATGTATCATTACTGAGTTTGAGTGCATAGCCGACGTTCAAAATTATGAATTTGGGCTGGGTAAGTTTTCAGAATGGGTTTTTAAAATTATTAAATAACGAAAAATATAGTAAAAATTCTACAGTAAACCAATTAGACGTTTAAGAGCATATTTCTCAAAAGAAATTTGTAAATAAATCAAAGTTAGAATTAATTATTTCAGTTTTCATCATTACATTGAATTTCTTATTTTTTATGAATTTGTTCGCAGATTTCTTCAAATTCTTCAAATGTCGTCTTTTTAATAAAAATTCCAGAAAATCTGCAGAAAATCTTTGTGATGAAAGAGAGATTATAGAAACCAAAGACTTTGCTAATTAGCAAAGTCTTTGATAGAAACTAATAATTGAAAAAGATAACTTAATTTCGATGGTAAGAATTAATTTTCATTTTCTTAATTTGTTCCCAGACAACTAATACTGTAGAATATTGTTTTAATTTTTTTATCGTCGCTATTTAATAATTAAAAAAAAACAATTCTTGAAACGTATCCATCCAAAAGTACGATTTTGAACGTCGACTTTGCGCTCAAACTTAGGGTTTACAGATCTTTAAAAAGTATTATATGTCTCAAATGAACCCTAAAGAATTTGTCCACAACAACTCAGTTTAACTACCTTAAATAGCCGGTCTGTCCCTTTAAATGTATTATTAAAACTAAGATAGAATTAAGAGATCACAACGTTGAACCAGAAATTACGAATGAAATGACGACCCTACAGATTCTATGCATATTTGTGCAGACTTGAAGAACTTGAAGTGGAGAAAAAAGAAAATCAGCTAAAAACATCAATAAATGCGCGAAAAAAAATTCAATTTATTGTTTTAAATTACTTCTGATATTTTTTAGCGCTTCGATCTTTTTTATCATGCTTAAATAAATCTATATAATAAAGCTCTTCGCTCATAAATATATATATATATATATATTTGGATCCATATACAAATATGTTAGCTATAGCTTGTCAAACGACTGAACTAAATTGGCTGAAATTTTTTAGAGAGCCCAGGGGTAAAAAACATAGGCTAAAAAAAGTTCTTCCAAAAATCTCATTCTTTTTAAATCTTTTTGTTTTCAAAATTCAATTTTTTTCTTTAAATTCAAAAATCGGATTTTTTTCAAAAGCTATTTTTAAAATTACACGGCCACTTTATCTGGTTATTTTATACAAAGAAAATAGAGTTAGAAAATAGAGTTTATTTTGCAAAAATTAGTGGTGGGTTTGGTAAGAACAAATGAAAATTCTGCTTAATTCTAAATTTGGCTGTTTAAGTTTTTTTTTTTAATAAGATGGCTTATATATATTTTATCTTTAACAAAGATGAAATCGTTATTTTCTTCAGAGAACTTGAGCCCATTAATGTTTAAATTTAGTTACTGATTGAATTTCATTTTATAAATTAATAATAACGAATAGTTCACATTTTTCTGATTTATTAACCTCAATGCTAGAGAGTTTCTTAGTTCAAATAGAAGAAAAATATTTTATTTAAAAGAATAGGAAAAGTATCTTACTTGGTCTTGGGTGTCCACTTTCCATGCAATGTATTGGTTCTTCAATCTTTAAATAAAAATAAGACCCCGTAGTTGTTCTGACCTACACAATCAACATTTGAGGCAAATTGGTCCAGGCGTTCCGGAGTTTTGATCGCACATACAAACAAGCACACAAACAGAGATTACTACTTTGTATATTAATATATATATACTATCGCAAGCACCCAGCTTTGTCTGGAAACTAAGTTTTTTTTCTACAAAAGTCGAGATTCTTAACTTTTAACTTTTAAACCAGGCTAAACCATTCCGATTGTTCAACCGAATTCCACAATTAAAATTTGAGGCATATCGGTTCAGTGGTTCAAGAGTTCTAATCCGCCAGTGATTTCATGGAGTTCATTTATAAATGAAACAAAAAAAATCTGTAGTAAATGTTTTTTTTTGTAGATGTCTGTAAGAAATGTAGAAATCAAATTTTATACGATTTCGCATATTTGTTTCCACTAAAAAATATTTACTGTACAAAATATATTGAAACAGTAGAAATGTTTTTTATCTATATAAAAAAAACTTTTTCAATAAAACATTCATGATTCATTCGAAAAAAAATCAATTGTAATTCAAAGGATGTTTTGATGTACGGACTTTTGTAGGAAAATATTAGCAAACATTTTTGAAAATATAATTAGCTTAAGCAAAATATTGAAATAATTGTTAATATTTAAAATTTACAGATATTTAGACAAATATGTTAAAATTTACAAACTGGAATATTTTCAAAAATACAATATATGTCTCCAAAATATCAAATATTGAGTCTGAGACAATAATTTATTCATAATACACCTACCAGTGCGGGGTGAAAACAATTACAAAATCAATTCTATTAAACTAATGTAAATAGGCAATTTTATTTTGGCTAAAGCAAATTCCTTAAGATTTAAATTGAATGCATGTTAAGATCTGTAAAGTAATACAGCCAATCTCACATGTGCGAATATATATAGCAAGAGCACATGAATGTATTCATATATACGGGATCTTTTTAGTAATCAATTTAAAACAATTTCGCAACTCTTCTCTGAAAAAATCCGCAATATATTTTTTTTAAAATCCGGATACATCCAAGCTGCCACGGAAAACATTATACACACATCCCCAGGAGAGGGAATATTCGTGAAATATACAGACCCCCATATTACATCTGGTACATTTCAAATTTAGCCTTATTACTAGAAAAAAGGGCCACAAAACACCTGTAAAATCTTATAGTATATTAAACCTTGTACTTCAAATGTTTAAGGGACTGCTCTCGTAAAGTGACCATGTACTGCATGTAAAGATGGCAATGTCCAATTTACAACTCTTTTCCTGATCAAATATGAATTATACTTCCATGTTTTTGCTTTTTAAACTATTACTTTTTTATTTGAGGTTTCACTGCAAGAGTGAATTCTGTATTTCTTGCTAATAATAAAAATGGAGAAATTCACAGATATAAACACTTTCGAGTCAGAAAAACGACGTGATTTTCCATAATTTGATCAGAGCTGAAAACTTTAGAATGGTGGATATCGAAATCAATGCTTGACCTCCTCTTTTTTCTAATCTACAGATTAAATAATGCTTGTTCTCCTCTTGTTATTAAGCTCCAGATTAATTAACCGATGGGGATTAAGGATATCCCATTCTAAAGTTTTCAGCTCAGATAAGATTTCAAGGATACAGATGTGAATCAGGCATTGCCATCTTTACATGGAGGGTTACTTGAAATTACGCTTACAAATCCTTTAGGAAAATATTTGGTTACATATTTTAACCTTATATAATTATATTGCAGGCAACTGCTGTATTTGGTTAGATATTCTAACCTTATATAATTATATTGCAGGCAACTGCTGTATTTGGTTAGATATTTTAACCTTATATAATTATATTGCAGGCAACTGCTGTATTTGTTCTGGATTGAGTCCTCGTCCTACAGGGCACACAAGTTCTCAGCTAAAAGTCGAGGTAAATTATATATAATACAGGGTGTAGAAATAAAGGCCGGTCGATTTACCCTCCATTTAAAACTTTGCATGCCCAATATCCCAGCTAACAAAAGTGAGGAATTTCTCCAAGTTCTCCAGTTTTGTTGACTTGCTTTGAGGAATTTCCTGGGAATTTCTCGAGAACAAGTTCTTGTGACTGATTCCTTGGAAATTCTTGAGAAGAGGCATAGTCTCGAGAAATTCCTGAGAGTTTCTATAAAATATTTCTCTGGAAATTACTGAGATATTCTCAGAACTTGGTTACCAATTTTACGATTTTTTGGGGGAACGGAATAAAAAACTTAGTTTCAAGAAATTCCTGAACATTTCTCTGAAATTTTTCTCCAGAATTTTCTAAGAATTTCTTAGAAATATTTCTCCAGAAATTCCTAAGAAATTCTCAGGACTTCATCACCAATTCTACCGAATTTTCAGATTCAGTTTTTCTTCCTGGGAATTTCCGCAAAATTGTTACCTGGGTTGAACTTTCTTTAATCAAAGATAAAGAGATATATATATATAATTTTGTTATTGATATATAAAAGATAATCTTTAAAAGTAACTTGAGGAATTATTTTATTGAAAGAGGGAGTAATATGGACTCGTTCTAAGAAGTAAGTAAAAATAACACCATTTTACGCATACTTACGCTTCAGAAGGTGAAATGGTAAAACTTAGCTTACGTGCTACATTAATTCTCTTTATTTTTTATCTAATATTTTTTAGGTGCGATTGGAAAGAAGAGACAGAACCTACTCACGTTTGACGAAATTGTCATAATAGCTCGGGTTCGACATTATTCTAGGTAAAAATACTTCTGTAATTTGGCAGATGAGAAGGTCAAATGGAGCTCTCAAAGTGCAATTCTGAGATATGTAGCACAAGTCTTGTGTTTCCAGCGACAAAAAGATGCAGAATATCGTAAGAAAAAAAATTCGCATAATTTGTTTCATGAAATTTTAAATTTTTGAGAAACAAATGCGAAATTTTTTTCTGCTAACGGATTAACTCGAAAGAGTGAAATTTTGTGTGGTTTTTTTTACGAACGGAATGTGCGTAATTTTAGAAGAAAAAATAAATCTGAAACCCCAATATGCCGGAAACGATATGCCATTTTAAAATCATACTTAAAATGATTTAATATTGAAAAACCATTTAACGTTGCTTCGACTCTTTACTGTAAATGCCATATCACATGGACAAAACCTTTAATGTTGACAAACCTTTAAGCCATTCACATTTTTATTATTAACAATTCATTTAATGTTGACAACCATAAATTAATTAAAAATAACAAAATGGACACTAATGTTTTTTTTTCTCAAGATTTAGGAGTTTTTCGTTCACAATAACCCTGAGGCAGAAGTCAAAAGGAGTTCTGCGCAGGCAGGGTTGAATTACAAGACAGAGAGAGAGCATCTGCTGCCTGCGCGCAAATCTTTTCGGCTGCTGCCTCAGAGTAATAGTGAAATAAAATCTTAACGTTGACAACCAATAAAAAGTTAAAAACGCTATTTTAAGTTTAACGTTTAACTATTGTTGGCAATTCCTATTTAACATGGACAACCCTTTTTATGTTGACGTTAAACGATGATAATCCATTGAACATTTTCAACGTTAACATTAACAATCCTTATAACGTTTAAATCAGAAACCCTTTAATTTAATCAATTCGACTCATCAAATTGTGCAGACTGCTGAGGCTGGGAATATGTCTGGTTCTTCTCATGGTCGGAGAGTTTGGATATTCGAACATTGTAGTTCTTACATTCGACTTCTTCGCAACCTTCATACAGACCTGTATCATCCCTGGTATCCTTGTTATCAGGTATCCATTTTGGTTTGTCTGTCTGTTATTTTTATTCATTTGTCAAAACGGCTAAACCGATTAGGCCCAAACTTTGTACGGCAAAATTGATAAAATTTTAACCGAAAAATTGTCGACAATTATTTTTGAAAATGCATCAATTTAAACAGAAAATTTGCGTAAATTTGAACAAATTCTTATTATTCTTGCTTGACTTGCTTTGCATATTTTTCAAACAAATTGTTTTTATTTATTTATAAAATTATTGCTCTCATTTTCTCAGGTCTAAGAAGAACTATCCGGAGTTTTGGACAACTCAGAACAGGTTTAACTCATTTTATAAACCTTTTAACCCCAGAACAGGTTTAACTCATTTTATAAACCTTTTAACCCCAGAACAGGTTTAACTCATTTTATAAACCTTTTAACCCCAGAACAGCTTTAACTCATTTTATTAACCTTTTAACCCCAGAACAGGTTTAACTCATTTTATTAACCTTTTAACCCCAGAAAAGGTTTAACTAATTTTATAAACCTTTTAACCCCAGAAAAGGTTTAACTCATTTTATTAACATTTTAACCCCAGAACAGGTTTACCTCATTTATCAATCTTTTAACCCCAGAACAGGTTTAACTCATTTTATTAACCTTTTAACCCCAGAACAGGTTTAACTCATTTTAATAACCTTTTAACCCCAAAAGAGGTTTAACTCGTTTTATCAATCTTTTAAAACACATTTGATAAATATACTTTTTAAAGGGAGTGACCGGCAATGTATGGTAGTTCAACTGAGAATTTAGTATTGTGGAGAAAGTTTTAACATTCATTTGAGACTTATTAAACGTTTTAATGATGTATAATTACTGAGCTTGAGCGCAAAGTCGACATTCAAAATCATCCATTTGGGTGGTTAAGTTTTGAGAATCGATTTTATTTAATTATCAAATAACGACCTCAGAAAATGTAAAAAAAATTCTACAGTAAACTAATTAGATGTTTAGGAACATATTTCTCAATTGGAATTTTCTCAATAAATCAATGTTATAATCAAATATTCCTTTTCATATTGAATTTCTTATTATCATAATGAGACATTACAGAAACGAATAATTGAATAAGATTACTTCTTTTCAATGATAATAGATAATTTTGATTTTCTCAACCTGTACCTAAACATCTAATTAGTTTACTGTAGAATTTTTACTACATTTTCGTCGTCGATATTGAATAAGTTTATAAAAACCGATTCTCAAAATCATCCCTCAAAAACGAACAATCTATAAGGGTTTTAAAGATTGAATTTACGCTTTTGCTGTACAAAAAATAAATATGCTTCGTAAACATCTCATATGTCTCAAAATTCTGGGAAAATCTCCGCAATACTACATTCAACTACCATACATGGCCGGTCAATCCCTTTAAATTAAATACAGTAATACCCCCAAAAGATTAAACCTTTCTTTCTTTGACAAATCAGTTAGAATATCAAAGATATTTATATCTTGTTGAAAAATAAGGAGGTGACATAATGTTTGAGAATGTTTATGGGAGAATCAATAAGTTTTTTGCACAATACATTTAAAAATCTTTAAAAATTATTACAAAATATGTACACATCACACTTGTAAACAGTCATTCAAAAGCTGTTTTAAATTTAGGAAAATCTTTAAAAATTAAACTTTTGTGGCTATAGATTAATTCATAATCATATTCTTGAATTATGTACAAAAAACTTGTATTTTTTTATCAAATCTATAATTCTCTATTTAATTAGTTTTATTTTTAAAAATATTATAGGAGAAGCCCTTTCCCCTGTCGGCCACGGGTTGAACCTGAGGAGTTTCAGCTTCAAGAGATAGAGTAGGTTTTATTCTTTAATTCAAGAGATAGAGTAGGTTTTATTCTTTAATTCAAGAGATAGAGTAGGTTTTATTCTTTAATTCAAGAGATACAGTAGGTTTTATTCTTTAATTCAAGAGATAGAGCAGGTTTTATTCTTGAATTCAAGAGATAGAGTAGGTTTCATTCTTGAATTCAAGAGATAGAGTAGGTTTCATTCTTGAATTCAAGAGATAGAGTAGGTTTCATTCTTGAATTCAAGAGATAGAGTAGGTTTTATTCTTTAATTCAAGAGATAGAGTATGGTTTTATTCCATAATTCAAGAGATAGAGCAGAGTAAAATGTGAAAATTTATCCGACTTTTTATGAAAAGTCCTTTAAAAAGGGAACTTTAAAACCGAAAATTGAAAAAAAGGGCTCTGCTCCCCCTTTTTACTGTCTTTGTTCAGATATTTGCAGAAAAAAAATCGCAAACTTCAGTCCAAGTAGCTTGTGTTGATCATATAGTTTGGATTAGCCAAACTGACAACATTTGTTTCAGCTTATGCATTAAAGATTATTGGTAAATGTAAAAAAATATCTTTTTTTTAGCTAGATACATACAGGTTTCATTTGAGCTGGTTTAATACATCTCAACATCTTTATAAGTTATCTTATTTCCAAGTTATTTTTTCAGAAAAATCCAATTTTTCGCCTAAAAAAATCTTCAATTAACAAAAATTCGTTTTTACTCAACAGTGACAAAATATAAATTGGTCTATGTTAAATTGAGATCCTTTTATATGGCCTGCACCATACCAAAACTCTTCAAATTATTGAGATATCTGAGGAGAACAAAGATTTCTCAGGAGAACAAAGATATCTCAATAATTTGATGGATCTTTGATTTGATGGGTTTATTTCTTTAATTCTAAGGTTGTCTTAGTTTGTGCGAACTCGTAGTGTTAATACTATATTTGCTCTATCCTCATTTAATTTATATCTATTGGACCGTATCATCTACTTTTATACTATTTTTGAAATTCTATTTTGGCGTCAGATTACAATAGGCAAAGAGACCAGTTATAAAATATAAGCAAATTTTGTTTGTAGTTATCGAGCAATTTTATAATTTTATCCGGCGCGTCGCTATAAAACTAGAAATAACTTAACGATAAATGTTACAATTTAAAGTTGACATGAATTAGTGTAAAAAAGGGTAAGGGCCACAGCTTAGAAAGAAAAAAGGCAAAAAAGTAAGTTGATCAGCACAAAGAGCCCTGTATTTATAAAATCAAAAATTATCAAAACTAAATATTTCTCCTTACTCTTATTTATGTTCTGGTATTGATGGATTGTTTAGGTTTTTTTATTTGATTGATAGTTGCGTTCCCAAATTTTGAGAATTAATTATAATCCTTTCAAATTTTTTTCTGAAAAGATTGTTTTGATTTCATTTCTTTTTCATCTTTATATAACGATCAAATTCATTGATCAGTGAAATAAGAGCAAAAAAATAAGAAAAAATAACGATTCCTTTAGGAATCCAGTTAAATCTATGGTTTCCAGGCCCCCCCCCCCCCCAACCATTGACAAACTGTTCTACTGTATGAAAATCTTTATAACGAAAGATTTCACAGAACTAACGATTTTATTGAAAAAATAATTTCTCTGTGCTTAAGCGTTGATGCATTGATCTGTAAATTTGTTGATCCATTAATCCATTAATTCATTGATTCGTTGATTTATGAGTTTATTGATTCATTAATCTATTGGTTTGTTGCTGCGTTAACCCATCCATTCATTGATCCATTGATTCGCTGATCCATCGATCCATTGATTCGTTAATCTATTGATCCATTGTTTCGTCAATCATGTGATACATTGGTCTGTACATCTATTAATCAATTGATTCATTGATTTATTGCTCCGTTGATCCATTGATCCATTGATCCATAAATTTATTGATTCGTTGATTAAGTCATTGGTTCATTGGTACATTAATCCAAATTGATCCATTGATACATTGATTTGTTGATCCATTGATCCCTGGTCCGTTCAGTTTTGATGAACTACTGCTGAGAGAGCAGCTTCAGTTTTCCCCCGAGAATGCTCTTCTTTGATGGGTAAAGGTCGAAACCGCAATGCATGTGCTCACCCTAATCCCAAACTGTCATCAATGCAAGTTTAGAATTTTACAGAATATAATTAAGACCTAGAAATATCTCAAATTAGGAACGACGTTTAAAAACCTCTAATCCTTTTTCCATTCTCCTGCAGAAAAAGGATTTGTTAGTGTTTTAAATGCAACCAAAAACTTGAGAAAAACACATCTAAAACACTTTTATTTTGGCACGCAGAACTATAAAGTTTTTGGAAGAAATCATTAAGGCTATAGAACCTTTAAGATGAAGAGAAAATTATACTTCAAAATCTTTATAGATTATAAAAAATATAAGCGATCTAAGTTCGTTAATTTATTAATTCATAGGTTAAATGTCTTAATTGTGATAATTCAAAATTCTGCCTAAAAATAATCCAGCATAGAACAAGGGCGATTTAAGAGTCGTCATTTAATCCCAATTTTTATCAATAAAAATTTCACAAATGTAAGAAACGTTCCTCTATGACAACGTTGCCCTTGTTAACACCTGCTACCCACTAACTGTTAAACCCTGCATGTGAGTATTTAGTGAGTGTTTATATTATACTAAGTATTACGGGTGCTTCGCGTTCATCTTCTATTTCAACTTTTAATTATGACTCTATCTCTTAATATTTTCATTTCACGTAAAGAATATTCAAAGTTTTATATATTCTACTTTCTAAGTCATAATTAGGAAATATTTATGATAATTGATAAATACTTTTCATCTTTGAGAAGCCTGTCATGCCACTGTGTCATTAAAAAATTGTTAACATTTTTCATTACACATAAAAACCAAGATTTAAAAAAGCTGTTCTGTATGGTGGAGGCTCGTTCATTGCATAGCGGAGGCACGGTCTGCATAGCGGAGGCTTGGTCTGCATAGTGGAGGCTCGGTCTGCCTAGCAAATCTGGGAGGCTTGTGTCAGCAGAGCAGAGGCTCATGGCGTCCGGGGTTCCCTCCCTCGCCGTACTAAGCTATCAGGGCACTTCTAGTCAAACTTTAATCGTTGCTAAATCTTTCAGCATTTTCTCTTTGATTAAACAATAATAAAAATTTTGGCGGATTTATAATTTTTTAAGGATTTTCTTTTGAAAAGATCTGAAAATTTTTGAGACAATTTTATATAGAAACCGTTTTGAAAGTTCAACTAAATGATTCTTCGTAAATGAGATGTTGGATTGGCTGACTGAAGAATAAAGTTTCTGCATGTTTCCTACTGAAATGTATTTGGTTGTAATGCTTTCTTTACTAATAAGATTAAATCCTCTTATGTTAGTCACCCTTTGAATACTTTTGTAGAACGTAGACCCTGCTTTTGAACATGATTCTGTTTGTATTAATGTAAACCCTCTGTTAAAATATAATGTAGAAATATCTATCTGTATGATCAGCTTTAATAGTATTTTGCTAGGAATGGGCTGAATGTGAGAACCCTGGTACCACGAACAGCCGTCATGGATTGAGGAACAGCAACTTCTTCTTCATTCAGAGAAAGCTGTAATTACTGTTTAAATCTGCGCCTAAGCTTTATAGCATATGCGCAGATGCACCGGCGGTGTAATGATATCAAGAGAAGGGTATTATTTGTGCCGTCCCGTATTGTCTTCTGTAGTCTGTGTACTGTGAATACTGCATTACAGCAATAATTGTAATGTTTACAGAAATACAGGCTACAGCAAGAGATAAACTTATAACCTTAATCTCAGTTTTTTAAAGACGCATGTATGCTAGAATAAGGTACACACGTGTAGTGTACAATACGTACAGTACTATAGATGGCAGTACTCTCTAAACCCATGCCTCCATGGAGCTACTAACTGTCAGTCCAGTACAGATTTCAAACCGGTGAATAGCTGTGAATATTAGCTTCAAAAAGGACAATGATTCATAGACCAATATTTAACCTTCACATCAACATCAATGAAGAGTTGGTTGAATCACGTTGTACATGTATCTATAAGACTACGGCTTATGAATTGTTACACCCGGTGAAAAATTGCATTAAAAAAGTAAAACTTTTAAGCTTTGACAAAATGACTTTTACAGTAAGGTCGTGCATTCAATACCTCGTATTGAAAGAACAAAGTTGCAGTTTATTCTAAAGAAAAATTATCAAAAATTAATCAAAATCTAAATAATCAATTCAATGTTGGAACCATAAATATACTGAAGTTGAAACTTGTGTTGTGAATCTCGGGATGACGTAATAAACTTCTGCTGACTTATGGATTTTTTAATTCCTTTTCGTTTCCGATATCCCATGGTTGTATTGTAATGTCCGCATTGAATATCGAAATCAAGCGTTTAAAATTAAAACTCCACGCAAAAGTTTCGATATCTAGAAAGATTTTAATACATTTTTGTGTGAATCCATTTTTAATCTTATTTTTCAAATTAAAATCATGTGATCGTCTTTCTTATAAATTAAATATTTGAGGCTTACTCATGCTTTTTTATTTTATAATTTACTTAAATTGATTGATGAAGGTTGTAATATTTTTTTGTGAGCTACAATTTTTATAGCGATATCTTTGCTTTTAACCCCAGTTCATGCATACATGTACAACAATGAACGAATTTGAAAACCATTATAGTCTATAGTTTTAATGATGGGGAAAAAATTATTTTGTGTAAGAAAATCTTTTTTTCTGACCATGCCTTACAGCCATTTAAAATTTTTGGAAAATACATATATATAACCAACAAACAACCAATACAAAAAAAAATAATATTTATTTTTTATTTTTTGTAAACAACAAATAAAATTTCCCATTTTTTTCAATTAACAATAAAATCTAAAGCTTTATATCATTAAAAATGTAAAAACTTAACTAACATTTTCCTCGTAATATTGAGCTTTACGTGTTATTCAAGAAATTATAAAATCTCTAAATCCGTCCAAACTACGCTAAAATATACAAGGTTGGTTGGGCAACATGAAACTATTCTTGTTTAATGTTTATTGACGAGCCCTGTATTTATCTCAATCTGCTTTCGAGATTTCCGTCCAACAATGTGAAATTTTGATTATTTCATTGAATCAATTTTACATCCCTAGTCACCACATTATTTTCCGACTGGTCACCTTATTGCCCCGGTAGCACACTTTATTATCCCGGTAGCCCACTATATTGTCCCGGTAGTACACTTTATTTTCCCGGTATACCACTTTATTGTCCCGGTAGCACATATTATTTTCCCGGTAGACCACTTTATTGTCCCTGTAGCACATATTATTTTCCCGGAAGACCACTTTATTGTCCCTGTAGCACATATTATTTTCCCGGTAGACCACTTTATTGTCCCGGTAGCACATATTATTATCCCGGTAGCCCACTTTATTGTCCCTGTAGCACATATTAATATCCCGGTAGACCACTTTATTGTCCCTGTCGCACATATTATTATCCCGTTATACCACTTTATTGTCCCGGCTGGCAACCTTATAACCCCCTTAGCCAACTTTATTGTCCCGACTTGCCACATTATTGCCTGTCCTGGATTTTCAGCACATATGGATGATAAGTCGTCGCAGAGAAATTGCAGCATATTGATGTGGCCACGTACACGGAATATGAAACTGCCATGCATCAAGTTAAAGGTTAAAATGACATTTTGAGATTGATTTGGGATTTTATACTTATCTAATAAGAAGTATAAATCACTCTTCAAGTTCATATATTCTTCCTTATACCTTGACCAGGTATATAATTAGCTAATTTATACAAAGGAATTGAGTATTTGGAACAAAATCAAATATTTAAACCTCAATATCTTTAGAACCCGACGTTGTAAACCTTTAATATTTCAAACTCAGATTATTTGATCTAACAGAATTCATAGTTTGAAATATCTAAGGTCTGCAACATTTGGTTCCAAAGATAAAGTGATTAGAAAATCAGAGTTTGTGGCAAAGACTCAATTCCTTTATTCATATATTCATTTTAATCCTCAACTGCTTATCTGTTTTTCATAAATGAAATTTGTTGTATATTTTAATCAAAAAATCAAATCAAACTTTTTACAAATTATAATTAATATTTAAAAACGAACCGATTAAACATTATTTATCAATCAATCAATAATTGAATGACACGTATACTTGTGAAATAAATGTAAATCGAATATTAATATAACAAAGTAAAATTTTTGTAATATTTGTCTTAATATTTGTACGTATACATGTTGTCATTTCTGATCCAATTCACCTTCCCCCAATTCCAAAAACTGCTATTCTAAACCTAGAAAATCTGATTACTAACCCCAAACTCTAATTTGACTTCCTTATATCTTTGCAACCTGAAGTCGGGGGCCTGAGATTTTTCAAACTAGAAACTATTCTTGGCCAAATTGTCAAGGGTTTACTCCATCTGGTTGCAAAGATAAACAAATTAAAAATTAGAGTTTGTGGCGAGTAATCAGGAATGTTTCGGAGGCAAATAATTTTAAATTTTGCCACAAATTTAAATTTTCTAATCCCAATATCTTTGCAACTTGCTAGTGTAAACCTATGATATTAAAAACTTAGATTATTTGATCCAACAGAGTTCAAAGTTTAAAATATCTAAGGTCTTCGACATTGAATTGCAAAGATATATATATATGTATGTAATATATATATATATATTTATATATATATATATACATATACATATATATATATGGGCGGGGAATAGAAAGCAGCGTTTGTGGCCGACTCAATTCCTCAGAAATTTTCTAATTTGTCCAAATATATTTGTTGATAATTTCAAACACCAACTGTGTAAACTTTGTGTAAAATTGAATTCATAAATTATATGTTTTTGGAATAAAATTTGTTTACACAACTTTGTATGCAGCTAAAGTGAGAGATAATCCTTTGGAAAAATATTTTCTATTTGGTTTAATTTAGAGAAAAGGAAATCTGACTTCTTCATGAATCTAAGAGCTGCGATAAAATGCTGCTTTTCATTTAGAGGGACGGCAAGCGTAATCGCAGCACTCTTTAAACATTACAAAACTCAAAAGTAATAATGATAAAAATAATGTCGTCCTATTGTCTTGAAAAGGCATAACTGCTGTCAATTTATTTTCTTTTCTCTGCTGCATAATTCGACAGTTGAATTTTTAGTCTAAAAATAACAATATCTCCATCAATTTTGTTCTGACAAGGTTAAAAGACTGCGTTGTTAAACGGGCATATTTATAACTCTTTAAATAGGGAACTCTTTAAATAGGGAACCCTTTAAATTGGGAACCCTTCAAATAGGAAACTCTTTAAATAGGGAACTCTTTAAATAGGGAACTCTTTAAATAGGGAACTCTTTAAATAGGGAACCCTTCAAATAGGGAACTCTTTAAATAGGGAACTCTTTAAATAGGGAACCCTTCAAATAGGGAACTCTTTAAATAGGGAACTCTTTAAATAGGGAACTCTTTAAATAGGGAACCCTTTAAATAGGAAACTCTTTAAATTGGGAACCCTTCAAAAAGGGAACTCTTTAAATTGGGAACCCTTTAAATAGGGAACCCCTTAAAATAGGAAACCCTTTAAATAGGGAACCCTTTAAATAGGGAACCCTTTAAATAGGGAACCCTTTAAATAGGGAACCCTTTAAATCGGGAACCCTTTAAATCGGGAACCCCTTAAATAGGGAACCCTTTAAATAGGGAACCCCTTAAATCGGGAACCCTTTAAATAGGGAACCCTTTGAATAGGGAACACGTAAACAGGGAACCCCTTTAACATTTTTTAACAGTAGCAAATGAAAATAAACAGTTCAAAAGAACATAAACATGGATATCTAATTCAAACTTAATCAGACAAAGCTTTTAAGGGTACCGTTGTAAATCGGACATTACCATTTTTGGATGGTGTGTCACTTAGAATTGCGCTTACAGTCCCTTAAGTTTTTTTAAACTGATTGAAACGACGTTTGAAAATTCGTATTTTATAATGTTATTTTCAATTATTAATCTTTTATTTGATTCTATAAAAACGTTGTCGTTGAGAGAGTTTTTTTATTATGACGCAGATAAAATATTCAATTTTTAAGAAGCATTTCTGAGCTTGGGATTTATTTCAATAAAAAAATTCAATTCAATTTGTTCCATAAATTAAATTTTTTTAATGTCTTTCCATTATGAATGTAGAGTTGCCGTAAAAAAAAGTCTGAGTGTAAAACATGGATGTCTCATTCATCAATGATTCTTAAATTTTTTAAAGGATACAACTAATTCATCCATGATTAGTCAAATGTTTAAAGGGTACCACTTATTCATCCATGATTAGTCAAATGTTTAAAGGGTACCACTTATTCATCCATGATTAGTCAACTGTTTAAAGGGTATACCACTTATTCATCCATGATTAGTCAAATGTACCACTTATTCATCCATGATTAGTCAAATGTTTAAAGGGTACCACTTATTCATCCAAAACTTTTTGATTTTGTAAAGTTTTGAAAATTCTCGATTTACACATTTTCTGCAGATTTTTCATTTTCTTCTGATTACTAATCTGACACCTTTTTCTTCAGAGATTTTATCATAAAGATATTAGCAGACGTTTTACGCAAGAAGCCTAGATATTTTTCTATCAAAATATTTTCTAAACAAGTAGAACGTAATTATTATATTAAACATCTCAGTTAGATTCCAGCAAATTTTGTTTTTTTTCAGGTACAGGTACAGGTACAGGTA